TTTTTTTTTTTTTTTTTTTTTTCCAACACCAAACCGTGCGTGATACATATTCCATTCTTCGAAGACTGAATGGTTTTTACTCGTTCTCCATCCCGTCGTAGTACGTACTACATATAAGGGGCCAAGGGTATTAGTTTATACTCCGCATGTATATTTCTTATGCACGGACCACTGGCTATCGATAAAGAATCTGCGGCAAACCCCGCCGCCATATTTAGTTATCCTTCAAACACCCTCAACCACTACATAGACTGGAACAACTCATTCTGCCTGTGAACACAAGTCAAGATGACAGCTACAAAGTCAGCACCAGCCGGACATCAAGTCAATGTCCTGTTTGTCTGTCTTGGGAACATCTGTATAGTTCGCCCTATTCTCCTCCCCGCATGGGGAACGAAAAGGAGTCGAGACTAACCTTTTGATCACCACAGGTCGGTCTCCCATGGCCGAGGGGGTCTTTCGGAACATGGCTGCCTCCCATCCTCTAATCAACGAGATCGATTCCGCCGGCACAGGCGCTTATCATACCCACGAACCCCCTGATTCTCGCACCATGTCTACTCTCCGCCAACACGGAATCAAGAACTACAACCATGCCGCCAGAAAGGTCACCAAGGACGACTTCCTTAAATTCGACTATCTCATGGCCATGGATAAGTACAACTTGCGCGACCTCCTGGATGTGCGCGAATCGGTCATAGCTTCCTTGAACAAGTCCAAGAAGGGCACCCGGACGGCGAGTGGAGAGGCGGGTGCTAAGGTTGCGGATGTACGGTTATTTGGGGACTTTGGAGCCGGTGGAGTGTTGCATGAACGTGTTGGGGGTGGTGAGGTGGTGCAGGACCCTTATTATGGGGGTGTCAATGGATTCGAGGAGGTTTACCAGCAAGTAGTTCGGTTCTCGAAGGGCTTTTTGGATTACCTAGAGAAGAACCAGGGTGATGAGCCGGATAACTGAACGACTATATGCGAAGGAGGCCATGCGTTTAGTGGCTTCCCCTTGCATCGGAGCGAGGTTGAGAAGAAGTGACTAAGATACCCAGCGCTTGTTTAGACCTTGATCGATTGAAGCGTGAGCCAATGCTTTGCAGGCGTGTTTTGACATCCGTATAGTACATGCTAGAGACATAGAATGTAGAAAGAAGACAAATAGATACGTCTCCAAAGATCGTCAATGTTCACAAACCGTTAATCAAGAATATAATACACCCACTATGCGTGTGGTATCGTACAAAAGACCTGTAGCGTATGAGCGGTCTACCACCCCGTATGGTACCCCTTACCGCTCCTGAAATTATATCGAAGCTCGCTTGCTGGATCACACCTTCTCACTGATATTGATAGCCGCTCTACACCCTAATCGGATGACACTGACCAGAGGATCGTAGGGTCGAGCTTCTTTGGCGTCATTCTCGACAGCATGATCCAAATGCTCTAATTCTTCGTCGCGGATTCGTCGGAACGTTGCCAGCATATCCTTCAATTCATCGTCCAGTTCTTCCCCTCTACGCTCCGCTTCCGCCTGCCACGACAGTATCTCCCGCACTTGTTCATTGTAGTGAGAGCCAATCTCCGTCTCCACGGCTTCAGTGCAGGCCATGGCAGCCTCACGTCCCATTGCTCCAGTTGACCAGCCGAGAAATGTTGCCGCCACCTCCCATATCGGATACATTGCCGTTGGCCGAACTTGATGTTTCGCAACCATCTGATTGAAGGTCGAAAAGTGCCCAGCTTCTTGGTCATACATGTGCTTCATCAAAGGACGCAGGTGAGGATGGGAACGCACGACCTGCGGCGTTTGCGCCTTGTAAATTAAAGTAGCTGCAAGCTCTCCGGCCTGGTTGACCCGAAGTGCACTATCCAAGAACTCGCGTTGTTTTTGACTGAGGACATATTTAGGTTTTGACGAACTGGCGGTCGTGTCGGGCGATGGAGACGCATCGTGCGATTTCCCCCAAAAGGGTGTCTTTGCTGTGGATTTGTATCCGCGAGAGCTCTGTCGCAAAGTTGACGGCGCGAGGAAATCGAACACCAATGGTGATGTTGGCCGGCAGGAGTGGGTAAGAGACACCCTCTGGAGTGCTGCGACGGTCTTCATCTCGGTCCGATATGAGATTGGGGAATAGTGAGTGAGTATTAGGGAAGAGATAAGAAGAGGAAGAGAAAGGAAAAGAAAGTAGGTAGAAATTCACAAAAGACGGACCAAGGACATTCCATCATTCCGAGGTGGTCCAACCCGATCGAACTACTACATTTAATTTATTCCCGCAGACGCGCGCTTAAAGGCCCGAAAAGGGCTTGGCACGAACGGACGTCATGCCGACCGCGACTCAAGTTAGTCGCTTCTTTTCACTTCCAAGTTAAGTCAAAGTCAACTTCTTCAACCCGCCACCCGAACTGCTCACTTTGCCGGTGTTTTTTATATCATTGTTCCTCTATAGCCCGTTTTTGAACGGCTCCTCCTTGTACGAGTCATCTATAATCCTATATACGGCCATTTAATACGATTCTCGAATACGCTCCGGCCAGTTAGACCCTCTTTCATTGCGACTACCGCCCAGGGGTCGTCCATTCATTATTCTGTCACCAAAATCCTCTGCCTGAGCCGGCACTTTCCGTCGCTGATAGGCGCTTTTCTCCGACTTACTCAGCCACCTCACATTTCAGGCATCTTTTGTGTTATTCACTATGGCGGATGATCTTGATGCCGAGCTGCTCGCTCTTGCGGGTGACGCCTCAGATGAGGAGGCGTCTTCGCCCCCCAGGCAGAAGGAGGCTTCTCCTTCTGCATCTCCCCCACATTCCCCTGAAGGGTCGTCAACCATGGGTCGCAAAGGAACTGCTAACCCCGTGCGTCGGGGTCGAAAGTCACGGAAAGACGATGAGGAAGATGGAGAGGTGTACGTTCAAATTCTTTCTTTTTCTTTTTTTTTCTTCTCCTGACAGGGTGCCTGATTTGGGGTCATATGGTGGTGCAATATGGGGACTGACATAGTATCTTTAACTAGGTCTGCGGCTGAATCCCACAACTCTCTTGACTCGGCCAGCATGGTTGAATCGGAGTCGGCCTCTGATTCGGAAGGGTCAGATGCCGGTGCTGAAGACGAGGGACCCATCTTTCCTTACGACAAGTTATATTATTCCTCCAAGGACAAAGAAGAAATCATGGCGATGCCAGAAATCCAACGAGAGCAAATTCTCTCCGAACGAGCGCAACAGGTTGACCGCCACAATCAAGATCTAGCCCTTAGGCGCCTTCTGGCTTCCCGTGAGCGTGAAGAAGCCCGCCAAGCGAAAAAGAACAAGCGGAAAGCCGGTATGGCAAACCTGGAGGATGGCCAACGGAAGAGCTCGCGCCAGAAGACAACTCTTGGTGGTCGCAAGGTCGGCGAGACCTCCGATGCTATCGAGGCCTACAAGCGACAGCGTGAGCAGAAGGGCAGACGTGATGAACTTCGGCGCCGTGAACCGGCATCCAAGGATCACACCGTTCGTTCGAGGGATAATAGGGTTTCAGACGAAGACGCGGAAGGAGAGAGTGATGCTGAGTGGGATGATAGAGATCGCTCGCCATCGCTACCCAAGGATGATCCGCCAGCTGAGCTTAAGGATATCCAGCGAGCTCGTGTAGGTCGGACCAATTTCGCGCAGGTCTGTTTCTATCCTGGATTTGACGACGCTATCTCTGGCTGCTACGCACGAGTCAACATCGGCCCGAATAGGGAGACTGGCCAGAATGAGTATCGGCTTTGCCTGATTAAGAGTACGTATCGCCAATTTGTCGTCGACTCAGAAATCTGTTTTTAATCAGCCTTAGAATTCACCGAGGGTCGTCCGTATTCTATGGAGGGGCCTAATGGCCGGTCATTCGTGACAAAGCAATATGCTGTGCTTGCGCATGGGAAAGCGGAGCGGGAGTTCCCTTTCGTTGCTTGTTCAGACTCTCCGTTTACTGAGGTTTGTTCCATACTTCTTTGTGCAATCCAACTCTCTAACAATGTTCCAGACGGAATTCAATCGTTATCGTCAAACTATGGCGGTTGAAGACTGCAAGATGGCCACAAAATCCACGCTAGCCGAGAAGGTGGTGGATATCAACCGGTTGTTGAACCATAAGTTCACCCCGGAAGAGTTGACTGAAAAACTGAGAAAGCAAGGATCACTGGACTCCAAGTCGACTATTTTCAAGCGCATCGAAACCGAAAAGAAGCTGAAGCTTGCGAAGGCTGCGGGCGACGATGCTGAAGTCGAGAGATTAGAGTCCGAAATGGCCAGCATGAACACACCAAAACTTGCTTTCAACGCGAACTCTTCTAAACCCCGTGCAGACAAGCCTTCAGAGCATGAACGTTTGTTAGAGCTAAACCTCCGCAATCAGAGACTCAACACCGAAAATGTGCGCCGTGCTCAACTGGAAGAGAGAAAGGCCAGCCGAAAAGCCGCTGCAGCAGTCGCCCGCGGAGAAGCTCAGCCAAACCCGTTCATGCGTGTTAGAACACATGCCAGGACGCATTACGACGCCAATGGCAATGTTACAGGACAATCAGAAGCAACTAGTCGAGATGGAACCCCTGCCACTGGGTCCGACACGCCCTCAAAAGTAGACACCCCCAACGGAAGCAACACCCCCTCTGGCTCCCAGAAGAAATCCACCAAGGGTGGCGTCGCAACAATCCGTCATCGCAATATGGACGATGAGAATATTGCGGCTCTAGATTTGGACCTTGATATTGAGATCTGATCCTCGGCAATGCCTTGCGACATGCCGCTGTTCATGAACTGTATTTTATCCTACGTACAGCTCTGTTTATTGGATAGCCAACGATTCCTTGATGACGTATAGACTCTTGGAGATTGGACCAGCAACAATATCCCTCTCTCCAACCGCAAAGCATCTGGCACAGCGTCGGTTTTTGTATTTGAAAACGGATGGAGTTCACTTGGCGTTACATGGCTCTACTACCAATATCTTGCATGAACATGTATTATTGAACTATTATTACCTACTTTAAACCTGAACTCCAAAGTATATTACCATGGTCTGTCACTGTTCATATAGCGAGATGTCTCTAAATAATCTTCAATAAAAGACTCAATTTTCAAAGCCCTTTTCTTTCCAGTGTTACATTAGAGTCTCCGATGAAGATAGGGCTCTCCACATATCACGTGTGATAAGGGGAATGTGACGGCAATCGGGAGGATACGCGCTCAACACGCGGCGCGTCGTTCAGTAGATTCTCTCCACCCTAGATTGACGACATTTGCTCCATAGCCCACTCTACATTTTCCCACCTCCTATGACCAAAGATATTCCTCAAACCCCTACAATTAGACACTATAGTAATGATACCTTTTCCACCCACCAACCAATAACGCCAATTCTTACATACGACGCAACCATGTCGACCCCCTCCACACCGCGGACGGCGCGTTCCGCGTCACCAACAGCCAACTCACCACAGATGCTCACCCCAGGGCAAAAAATCAAAGCTATGCTCGCCCAATTCGACAGCGACTCAGACTCAGATAATGGAAATCCACAGCCCCAACGATCCATCGCAAGAATCACCGACAATCTTAAAAACAGCACAGTCTCGGACCACCGGCCAACCATGGATTTGGATGATGGGGCCTCAGACGAAGATGACGATATAATTATGCCCAAGGGCCGCATAGCTGCTCGACTGCAGGCTCAGGGCAGTGAGAACAGCGAATCAGCATTTGATCGAGTGTCGAAGAGCTTGAGGAACGCACAGCAGGAAAAACGCGATTCAGTAGCCGATGAGGCGATGTCCGAGGACGATGACGATGATGATGATGATGATGATCTTCCTGTGGCTGGTCCACGGAGGAAAGCTAATAATAGGGTGGTTGAAGAGCGTGAAGAGAGTGATGCGGATGGGTCGCCGTCCCGTGCGCGCGCGTTTTCGCCTCTGTTCGTTTATTCCCCGACTCGTGATGATGCTGAGGACCAAGATGGAGCGGATGGCTCGGATCAGGATGAAGTTCGGCCAAAGGCGAATGCCCGGTTCCTCGCCCTTGTTGCTCAGAAACGCAAGGAGCGCGAGGCGAAGGAGAGAATTGAAAATGAGAAGAAGGCCGCGAAGGCGAAGCAAAGAGAGCAGTTTAGCTCAGAGATACTCTCTGGTGATGATAGTGAAGGGGATGACGAGTCGGAACGGAAACTATCACAACCTGCGCGACCTGCGCGAAAGGCCAGTAAGAAGGCCCTCGAAGAGATGAACCGGGAAACCCAACGACTCAGCAGAAGTATGCAATTGGTCCATCAGGCCCAGACCAAGAAGAAAATCAGCAAGGAAAGTTTCTTTGCTCGGTTTAACTTTATGCAGCCTGATCAGCAAAATGCCTCGGGGTCTGCGCCGGATAACTCGTCGAGTACCGCTGATTCGCAGAATTCATCGGATGCCGAAGCTCAGAAGAATAAGGAAACGCCGCGTACTTCACCAATTCTAGCTCCATCTGAGAAGCCTTCAACTGGCAATGATACCAATGATGCGTCCAAGGAGGCTTCAACCGAATTCCCGACATTGGAGGAAATGATTGCCAAAATGCCGCAGCAATCAGAGCAACCCATTGTTGGCTGCGTGGAAGAACAAGCGACGGATAAGAAGCCTCAGGCAGCCGAGCAAAAGAAGCAAAAGAAGGTTCTAACAATGCCACCTGTTCGCGTTCGCCTTTCTCGTGAGCAAGTAGCTCGGAACCAAAAAGATGACTCCGACAGTGATTTGGAAATTGTAACATCTCCCGCCAAATGCCGCCGATACGCGGTGTTTGAGAACCTTCCCATGAGAAGACACCAGGAATCGGCCACTATGTTGAAACTGAAGGCTCTGGCTCAGCTCACATCTCCGAAGAAGAAGTCAAGCATGAATTATGCCGAATTAGCCGCCCACCTCTTACATCAGGCGAGGCAGCAGGCAAGCAAAGAGAGGATGGAGAGAATTGAAGAGCTGAGGGCAAAGGGTGTCATCATTGAAACGGCCGATGAACGGGCTGCTATGGAAGATGAATTAGAAAACCTTGTCGAAAAAGCACGGAAGGAAGCCGAAGAAATCGCAAAGAAAGAGAAGGCAGCAGCTAAGGGTGAAGGAGATGAGGATGGCGACTACGAATTCTCCGGGTCTGAGGAGGATGGTGACGAGGCTGACGAGGACGAAGAAGAAGATGACGATGAAGAAGAGGAAGGTAACGAACACGGCGAAAAGGAAGGTGGCCTATTCGACGCCGAAGCTGGCGAAAATGAAGCATCCGATGATGGCCAACCCGAAGTCATGTCATCCGAAGAGACCGGTTTGGTAACCCAGAGACGGAAACGGCCTACTCGAGTCATTAGCGACGACGAGGACGAACCTCCCGTACCTAAGACGCCTGCAAAGATGACCAACCCAGTCACAGTACAATCTGTGGAGCGCCCACATATTCCCGGTTTGCCTTCTGATGACATGACTATGAGCTTAACCCAAGCATTCGCGGGAACTTTGGGCGATAATCATGCGGACAGCCAAGCAAAATCTACAATCCCTCACTCGTTGCCTGACCCAGTCGATGGTCGACGAGAATCAGATTCGCAGATGATCATCAAGGATAGCCAGGAACAACGGTCTGAAACTACCGATATACTAGCGGGATATGCACAGTCTGAGATACGAGTTTCTGAATCACCTGCTCCACGAGGGATGTCTCAGTTTTCTCAGATTCCGGACCCAACACAGGATGCTGGGTTTGTACTATCACCCTATGATCCCACGAAGCGATTTATGAGTACCCCTGCGTCTACCGTGGAGACTGTTCTCATCAACCGGAACGAGTCCCAGAACAACTCCCCTACTGTTCAGCGGAAGGCGAAGCATCTGCATCGGGGACGAACAACCGAACTATCCGCTATTGAAGAGCAGAGTGAAGGCGATTTTGAGATTGATGCCAGTGCATTCGACGTTATGAAGAAGGCAGTCAAGAAAAAGTCTAGTGTCCCGTTTGATAAAAACAAGAGTAAAGCGAAGGATGTGGTAGAAGAAGCTGCGGAGGAATCAGACGACGAATATGCTGGGCTTGGTGGCGCGAGCGACGAGGACGATGACGTGGAGAATGCATACGATCGACAGATGATTGACGATAACAGCGGAGAAACTGCCGACGAGAAACAATTGGCCGCTCTCAATGCGTATGTGATGCAATCCTGGATCAATATTGATGAGAACATATACTGACCTTTCCCACAGACTCCATCAGAGAAATGCAGATGAGAAACAAGTAGCTAAGCTTCTCAAAGACATCACAACGGGGGCTCTTAGACGACGCAGAGGGGGCGATGATGAGTTCGACTTGGACGATTCTGACGATGAGCTTCTTGCGCGTCGGCGAGAGAAACAGAGAGAGTTTGCACGGATGCGAAAGGCACTCATGGCTGACGAGAAGATTGGTGAAATTGCCGAGAACCCTAAGAAAGCTGCATTCTTCAAGGCTGTTGAAGATCGCGATATGGACGACGACGACGGCCTCGATTTCTTAGAACCCGAGGAGAATCCTGACTTCCAAGAGGAATCATCGTCGCAAGACATGATTCCAGACTCACAGCCTGATACTACTACAACTAGCGATAGCAACAAGAGGAAGAGGCCCCTTGAACCTTCAGCTGAAGACATCAATAATCGACCTCCGCCTCATATGCGTCGCAAGCCGGCAAGTGTCATGTCCAAGAAGCCAGCTAACCTTGCTGAGATCCGCGAAACCCTTTCCTTCCTGACTGAAACTCCCGAATATGACTCTTTCCACGAAGATGCAACTGTCGATGACGATGAAGAACAGGACAAGACCATCGACGGTGAGGCAGCGGATGAACAGCCATCCAACAGCCAGTCCACGGAAGAATTTGTTGTCCCGCGGCATCCACGCCGGACAAAGGGCCCTGTCGTAGATCGACTTGCTCTGCTACGGCAAGCATCATCTAACTCCGCAACATCTGGTTCCTCTAACACTCGATTTGCTTTCCAAACTGGCTCTGGACCCGATCCCATAGGATTCCGCCCACCCTTGCTTCGAAGGACTACAACGGGCTCCTCTTCCACCAGCAGCTCCTCCAAGTCAGACACATCGCGACGAGTAACCAAGCCTGCATCAGGTGCTTCGGTTGCCAAGAAAGGTGCCGTTAACTACTACACAGCCGCGCGAGAAAAGGAACGTGAGCGGGAGCTTCGGGCCAGGACCCGTAACACCGGCACCAATATCACCGCGTTGGTGAACAAGCATGCTAGCAACCGACTCGGCGCTCTTGGCCGTACAGGGCAATGGGACTAATTCAAGGGGCCTGGCGAGCACTTTCTGTATATATGTGTATTTGTTTTTGATGTCAGGCGTTCTGGAGCGGGGATGTTTCGCAGTCACGGTCATGAATGATAACATTAGCTAGATCTTTTCCGAAGACGGGGGGCTGGGCGTGAATGGTACTGATTTGCATATCAATTGATATAATTTATCCTACATGTTGAATCTTGTCTTGCAAGTCAGCATTCAACGGTTTCTGAGTGCTTCCAACACGTCTGAAACCTTAATCAAAAACCCAGCCTTCATTATATACTGTGCGTTAAGTTTACAGATAGCACCAAAGGAGTGAAGATACCTCTATCATACAAGCATGCCAGTGTACCCAACACACTCGAATCAAGGATAAGCCTCCAGTAAAGGGACCAAATCCACAAGCGACTGAATCACATTAGTATCGCCATGACCACTCCTCGCCGCATCGTCGCCACGAGCAAGGAAATACCCATGCCAACCCGCCCCAACAGCAGCCCTATAATCCTTCTCCAAGTCATCCCCGACATGAACACAAGTCCAGTCACCAAGATTATCACCCCGAGCCAACGCCTTCGCCTGTCTCCTCGCCACCTCAAAGATTCTGGGACTCGGTTTCTCCACTCCAGCCTCGTAACTCGTAACAACCAGGTCGATATCATTGACACCGTCATTCACAGCTGAACCCTCTACCACCCCAGAAGACGACCTCTCTTCAAACCCCGACAATCGCATACTATCCACGCCCTCGTCAGCCCTACAATCCCCAACCCGCAATCCCAATGACTTCAACACCGCCGGAACCCGATCATCCGAGTTCGAAATCACGCCGATCACCACCCGCTCAAACGGACCCAATCTGCCCCCGTTCTCCTTCACAGCTCGAATCCGGGAGAAAAAAGGCCCCACATCATCATACAGCGCATAGCCCTCTTTACTTGCAAACCGATCAAGTAAATACCCAACCAATCCCTCGGGGAGATCTGCTTGGACCCCACTGCTGTCATTATTGTTGTTGTTATTGGTAGTAGCAGTAGTGTTATTATTATATTGTTGATGTTGTTCGGCAAGGACCTGCACAAACGTTGCCCTGATGATCTCCCCCCACCATTGCCGGGGTCCGCCGTAGTGGCCGCGAATGACGTCGTCACGACCGTAGTTCGGGCGCGCTTTGGACTGCGCTTTGAACGCCGGTTTGAAGGCGGCGAAGACGCGCTCGGCCGTAATTGCTGTTTTAGGGAGTCCGAAGTGGTGCGCGGCCGACGCGTATTGTTCCGGTACAGAGGGGCGCGGGTGGAAGAGAGTTTCGAAGGCATCGAGGGTGAGGAGGAGAGTGCGTGGCTTAGGGGTCATGGTTTGTTTGTTTGTTTTTGTTTTTGTTTTTGTTTTTTCTAGTTTGTGGTTTTTGGGAAGATGGACGCTGGGATTGGGATTATTGGTGAGTTTTATTGAGTATTGATTTGGGGGGGGGGGGAAGAAAACGCGGGGAGATTTAACTGCGGTGACACAGGCCGAGGATTTGGCGGGATAGGGTTCGGGTCCCGATATCCAGCTAGGGAGTAGATTAGATTAGATCATCTATGTCTGTCTGAGTACAGTACTATACTCAGTAGAAACTATGTGTTTCAGATGGATTCGAACTCGCACTAGTAACATTGGCTTTAGGTAAGTTAGAGGCCTTACTGAACGATAGTACAGAATCAATGACATTAGAGATGTCTCTGAGACGGTATTGGTATTCCGAGAGAGAAATGGTTCAGAAGACACACATCCAGCTGACCAAGAAACCTTTCTACTTTGTCCTACTCATCTATGAGGTACTAGGTTGACCTACCTACATTAACACACAAGAGAGCATGCAAAGGCATGCCAAGAATTTTTTGATTCGACACTGCTACTAGTACATCGGCAGTGCGACAAAGCCATATAGTCTCATACCCAAAATATAGTTGAGGTATAAGATTGGTTTTCTTTGTAGGAGATAATCTGTTGTTGATAACAACAGCCTGATCTTGCCCTTGCAGTTCTGTAGAGGAAGGTCGAGCACGCACTGTGTGAGGCTTTCCAGGGATTTCATACGATGCCATAGTCAGTTTCTCGATTTTCCTGAACAAAGCTGAATTAGGGCTGGATTCTACATATTTATACATTAACGCTGTTCCGAGAGTATATTTCTTTATATTTAATGATCATTGCGAGACGATTGTCTCCAGATTGGTTTCAATCAACTTATACTAAGTAGCGCAAGGATTAACTTACAATCGGGGTTGCAGGCCTCAAGTGATGGAGACAGAAGGTTATTATCATTGCTCAATGTACCACAGGTATTACACAGTTTCGCGTCATGATTTATTTGTCGTATATGTGACACGAAGAGAAATTCATTCGAACGATGGAACTCTCCCTTATTATAAAGGGCACATAGGTGTAGAATAGCGCAGCTATGCGAAAAGCTTGTCAGATTGATCTTTGGCGATTACGCCACTTGGGATTAATATATGATTGAATGATATCTTACATCATTGCCATGCTCTATACGGGGCTACACATCGTATTTATCCAAGGTATCAATGATGACGGTAGTGGGAAAGGATTCTGTTAGGATTCACTTGCCTGTATGCAACCCGATCTTGATAAGGAGCTGGAAATGTGGAGACCCACACGAGCGATAAGATCGACTGTCGGCACTTGTACCTGACGACCGAAATTGTTCTTCTTCAGACGATCTTTTTAGGCAGCCTAATTTTCAACTTCTCTTGCAATTCTAGCCTGCCATAGATCTGGACATCAACCAATAGGCCGAAGTGACAATTTCAACTCTAATTCTATCTGGTTTCACGGGTGACGCGGCCGTCGTTGTCATCCCCCCCCACTTGGCGCCATGATAGCTCCAAACCGGTTGACTATAATAAAGCTGCCTCAGCTAAGTCATCAGATTTTCTCAAGAGGCTCAAGAAGGGAGAAAGAGAAACTCACGAGCCATGGCAGGTCTTACTATCCCTGTGGTTCTTCTGCGAGCCTTGCTACTGCTTTTCGTGCTCCATGTCCCTAGCATCAGTGCCTCGGAGCTCAACTTTCCTCCCAATGCTAACCACATCTTCAATGCGATTCACTCCTCCATGCGCCAGTGGGGGTCGTCGCTGCATCATAATGGTATGTCCTTCTTTCTGGCCACCGTACCCGAAGGAACGCAACTATACCACGGAAATTCCTCCCCAGACCCTGTGAACGGAACAGAATGGTTAGCCTTCGAGCCTGAACATGCTATGGTCTTCGCAAGACCCCATCATGGCCCTCCTCCAGGCAAAGGTCCACACAAGCGGTCCCAAATACCGCTCAAGCAAGGACCCGAGGAACCAGGAAAAGACCAAGATAAGGACCAGGATAAGCCAGGATACCTCCATACATACACGGCCGCAAAGGACTTGCGATTACTGTACCTCGATGGAATGTCGGCTGCTAAAACGGAAAACGGAACACTCGACTCTCAGGATCGGATCCTACTTCGCGACGCACTCGAGGGTAGGCTCGGAATGCTGGAAGATGAACGGGCGGAACTAATTTGCCGCATGGCTCGAGACAATTACCAAGGCCGCCTGGATGGTGTCATCCGTATGGAGGCCGGGTTCGAGATAATCCTTTGTGATTTCGCCAGAGACCTCAATGAAATTCGGGTCACTCAGGTGAAGTCTGATAGAAGGGGTCCTGGCCCGCGTGGTGGTAAGGGCAAGAAGGGCGGCCTTGACGGGGCCATGCTCTGGTACAAAGCCATCGCAGCACGGTACAATGGAATCGGGAGCAACAGGGTCATCCTCAACTATGACAATTTCGTTACGGCGTATGTCTATGGTTTGGATTTGTTTCGTTCCTCGAGTAGCAATAGCAACGTATTGCCGCGATTGAATCATCTCTTTGCCGATGAGCTGGGTCCGATTCGGAACGATCTGGACTATCTCATTATGCACCATGATCCCAGCGAGGCCTCATTTAATTGGCAGGGGGTTGCAGATATGGTAGTGCAACGATACGCGCATGAGCTGAGTTATCTGGCCTCTGGACAGCTCTCAACGCTACAGGCGCTTCACGAGGAAATTGAAAACAGCCTCGGTCCATTCATCGACTATAGCGATCGCAATACAGTTCTGGAGGTCGATCGATGCAGTATGCAGTTTGTGCCTGCAGGGGCTCCCTCAGATGGGTTAGCCAACGATGCCGTCCGATCCGTTACCCGCAGTATCTGCTCGACGATGATTGAGGCCTGGAAGCAAACAGACTACGACACAGCGGTCGCCCAACTTCAGAGTCTGATGAACTACCTGTCCTGGACAACATGGAAGGAATGTAAAGGATGTGCTGACAACGAGATCTGCGTGATTCCGATCTGGCCGATGGGAACAGTGGATGACTATGAGCACCCGCAGTGTCGAGATGCGTCGAGACCGAGTGGCCAGGGGCAGCGCTACTGGGGTGAGCATGGAGGGCCCGGAGGTCCCGGAGGACCTGGAGGCCCAGAAGGTCCAGGTGGATTCCGACACTCAAGTTGGCTACAAAGAATGCTACGCTACCTGCAGGCGATGATTCGATAGAGTCGTGGAACCGATTTCTTTCAATGAGCGACAACCATGAAAATTCTGCTCGCGACCGGATGCACCGTTGCAGCGAATACTTTCTTTTTCTTGCCTTGTATTCTTCTTACTTTATTTTTATTATTCGCCCATAGAATAAACTCCTGTCAGGCTATTACTACCCGACCAATTGGGGGCACGTTGGGCTTCTCCCAGTGATCTATCACATTCGATCCGGGTGATCAACTGCGCCAAGTTCAATAGTTCATGCAGGCCCATACCCGAAAGCACACCAAATCCCGGCGATCACATCGAATCGGACGAATGGCTCAATACTACTTTAAGCTTATTATGGAGCTTTTACTTGACGTGAAGTGGATTTCTTTGATGAGCTACAACTTTTCGCCACTATGGGGATATAGTATGAGTCTATATAGCCGGGATCTAGAGCCTCGAACAAGAACTGATCCCTGACTATGGTCAGCCACATTGCACTTACGAATGCATGTCTTAGACAATAACCACGAATAACCCCTGAAGATGGAGTCGAATCCAGGAACTCGACAAGGCGAGATGTCCAACAGAGATTTCTCACGAGAAGTGTCACCAGAGATACCATCCTGTCATTACCATAGGGTCGATATGTCAATACCTTTGAGTGAGATATAGAAAACGCGTCTAAATAGAACTTAGATAGGTACATACAAACAATACGAGAGTGTCTTTACCAGTCAAAACATGCCATTACTTTCTGTCGGTTGGCTTAAGTTTTATCCTTTGAAGAAATTGATAGTCACCAGGCCCATGGGCTCGTCACTGCTCCACCACTTTCGATGGGACTGGATAGTTATGAATAGTTACTGCTTGGCAGGAAGGTACCATGCATCTGGCGATGCTAACGCGAAAGGAAGCAAGTCGATCAGAAGAAGAGAAGTGTGTATAAATATGACCTTACAGCGCTTCCCTGTCACTCAACAGCAATCAATTGAAAATTCATTCCTTCATCGGGTTGTCGTCCTCTTCTTTCATTCTTCCCTTGACAGTTATTAACAGTCACTCCTTTTGATTGTTCCCTCTACATTCCTTCCACCATGAAAGCCACCATCTTAGCTACTATCGCTTTGGCGGCATGCAGTGCCGCCAGCCCCTTGGGCAGCGCTCCCCAAGCCCGAGATCTCCTTGGAGCTTCATCCAAGCCTTGCGACTGTGACTCAGACCATGATGGCACTCCTGAGGTGCCATCTTTGCCTCCTTCAGAGGGCCCTACTCCTATTCCAGTTCCGGTTCCTGGTGAAGTCCCAACCGTTCCTGGCATTCCTGGTATTCCCGGTATTCCTTCAGGTCTGCCTACTCCTGGCGTTCCTACGGTCCCTGGACACCCCAACGACCCTGAAGAACCCGAAGATCCTGAAGACCCGGAGGATCCTGAAGACCCAGAGGACCCGGAGGATCCCGAAGATCCAGAAGATCCTGAGGGACCTTCCAAGGGTGGCTGTGATGACAACGGCTGTCACGGAACTGGACACCTCATCCAAGACCTGGGCCCGCAAGCAAATGACGTCCTGACCATTGTTGGTGAACACACTGAGGAGCTCTTGCTTAAGCTCAGCCCCGGTGTTGCTGGTCTTCTGACTGGACTCGGCCTCCCTGGCTTGGGTCAACCCGTCGGTCACATCATTAAGAGTGCTGCCACCATTGGCGAACTTATCGCGGACTTGGGTGATCCCGTCGAATGTCTCTTGACCGTTATTGGACAGGACGGCGGATTCCTGTTGATTGAGCTCGAGCCATCCATTGCCGGACTCCTCACTGGACTCGGACTGCCTAGTATCGCTCAGCCCGTCGGCAGCATCGTCGGCACTGTCGGCCAGCACCTCAAGCGTGGCGATGGACTCCTCGAAGACCTTGCCCCCGTTGTGAACTGCGCTCTTAAAGTTGTTGGAGAGGACTCCAAGATTCTTCTCATTGCACTGAGCCAGCCCATTGCCGATCTGCTCATTGGCTTGGGTCTCGGTCAGCTTGCCGAGCCTGTCGGCACTGTCATCCAGTCCGCGGCGACCGTGGGCGACCTCGTCTATGACTTGGGTGACCCCGTGGAGTGCATTCTGACCATCATCGGTGAAGATGGAGGCGCTCTGCTTGTTGAGCTTTCTCCTTCCGTTGCAGGCCTTCTTGTCGGGCTCGGACTGCCCGGTGTTGGTATCCCCGTTGGCCAGGTGGTGAAGACTCTTGGCGAGGCTTTGTAGTATGTATTTCAGTCCCTTTCATTCATCCTGGCGTGTATATTCACGTCTACCAGATCATACGGAGTACTCTCGTCGGACGTCCGAAATCACTCCCGCCACTCAAGGGAAAAAAAGGGCCTGACCGAAAAGAGGACCTGATCAGCGGTCTGATGTATCAATGTGTATGTATAGTTAAGTTAAAATCAGTGTACATTATTAGATAATATCTTTTTAATAACTAAGTTACCATCGGAATAAGTCACTTAAACCCGACATGCTCTACCAAGTAGTCCGAAGACGAGCTACGGTGACGGATGTAAATTGATTCGCCCCACGGGGAAAAACTGCCGACGTGGAGAGGCGACGAGAGTTTTTCCTTCCCCAGATCAACCATGGCCAAGAAAGAATGAAATCTCAGTTTCTGGTTCTTTTCCTGACCTTCATCTCCATTGTGGGATTTGTGGGGAACCGTGGGAGGTCCGAGGGATAAATCCTTTCCCGCCTTATGGCCGAGGACCGTGCTCCATCATTTAAATTAAATAAAATCTACATCTTAACGACATCTCATCCAGGATCAGAGACGAAACAAAACATAAGTCAACCAATTCGCACAATTAATTTCACAATGACTAAGTCACCGCAAGATCTCCAAATCGCCATTCTGGGCGCTGGTGCGTTAACGCTTTCTTCCCCCCCCCCCCCCCGGGTCAAGAGTAATAAGTTAATGAATCGCTAACATTGAGGATGTCTTAGGTATGGGAGGGCTCACATGTGCCCTGGCCCTAGCTCAAGAAGGCTTCAAGAACATCGATATCTATGAATATGCCTCTGATCTGGGCTTCGTTGGAGCGGGTATCCAATTGGCGCCGAACATGGCCCGTGTGCTGGACCGCCTGGGAGTATGGAAGGGAATTGAAGCCGAGGCCGTGAATATCGAAGAGACCAGCGTAAGAGGTATGGCTGAACTTCCTCCCCTATGTCTTCAAAATGATTGCTCAATATATACTGACATTTGTTCCTAGTGGGTGCAACCGACTCTGAATTGGCACATGTTGAACTGCAGTATATCAAAGACACATATGGATACCCGCACATGGTTGGCCACCGTTCATCGCTGTCCAACGGACTGTACCAAGGCTGTCTCCGCTACCCAAACATCAAGTTCCATTTCTCCACTTCCGCCGGGAATGTCGACTCGTTCGGCCCCCGGCCCTCCTTCACAGCTACGCCCCGCGACTCCAGCCAAGCGCCGTACCGCGTGGAGGCAGACGTGCTGCTGGGCGCCGACGGTATCAAGAGTAACACACGTGTCGCCATGATGGACAAGCTCGGCATCCAGACCGGCGTGAAGGATACGAACCAAGCGGCCTACCGAATTATGATCCACAAGGACCAGATCAAGGAGGACGACACGGAGCTCCTGGAGCTAATTAACGGAAACAAGGTGACGCGCTGGATCGGCGAGAAGCGTCACATCATCGCATACCCCGTGTCCAACAACACGATCTACAACCTCTCCACCGTCCAGCCCGACACGAACTTTGCGGCCGCCACCAACGCCACCTACACGACGCGCGGATCGAAGAAAACCATGCTGGAGGTCTTCGGCGATTTCTGCCCCATGGTGCAGCGCATGCTGAACTACGTCCCCGAGGGTGAAGTTTGCGAATGGAAGCTGCGCGTTCACGAGCCCCTGGAGACATGGGTGCACGAGTCCACTGCTCTGGTCGGTGATGCTTGCCACCCGACACTGCCTCATCTCGCGCAAGGAGCTGCGCAGGCTATTGAAGACGGTGCCGTGATTGCGATCGCTTTGTCCCTGCTACCGGACACGACCCCCGCTTCCATCGCTAAGGCGCTGAAGGTGTACGAGAAGGTTCGTAAGGACCGGGCGTATGCGCTTGTTGACTTGGCGGCTGCATCTGGTCGGGCGCTCCATTTGGGAGATGGCGCTGCCAAGGAGGAACGTGACAAGCAGTTTGCTGCGTTGAAGAAGGGCAACGGCCCCGTTCCGGATAAGTGGGCTGATGCAGATGTGCAGAAGATCATCTATGGCTTTGATTGTCAGGAGGAGACGCGGGAGAAGTTCAATGAGTATTTCGCGTAAGCATTGCTCTTTTCTTGGTTATCTTATTTGATTTGATGTATTATGTATTTAGAGGCTGATCGGATAGAAGGTCTTCACGGGATGCTAAATTAGCATGAGTATAGATATAGCATAGCGAGATGAATGTACTGTTATGAATCAAGTCAAAAACTCGAAATAAGATGTAGTATAAATATTGCTGTATGTCAGCTGACTGGGCGTCAGATATATATGCATTCGATGATGTTCTATCGTATAACATCATGTAGCGTAAGGCATCGGGAGACATACATTAGCTAACATGATGCTGTAAGCACTTTTCAACTATGATATAAGTATTATACACAAGTATCTAATTAATTAGACTGTTGTTATATGTATTGTGTCAGGGGCACTTTTGTGCAGCATTCAAGGCATTCCTTGAATTAGGGCTAAACTGACGACCATGTCAACATATGATGAAGACGTAGCTTATGTGGGTCACGAACGGCCTCGGCCCATCTCATTTTAATTAGTCAATAGAATATTTTCATGCATGAATGCCCTATACGGAGTAAATCATATGCCAAAGAAAAAAAAAAAAAGGCCGATGGCCGAAGCTGAATCAGCAAGGGACTTTCCCCACCACGTTCGGCAAACGTCGGCCATCAGGACCATTGGACTCCAGCTTATCCTTCTTCGACGGCCACGTTCAACTTAGAATTTACGATGGATAAGTCTCATAGGCGCAAAAATCATGTCTGCCCGTCCCTACCGCTCCAAAAGGCACCGCCCTTGCGATCAATGCCGTGAAAGGAAACTTGGGTGTCAGACGGACGGCGGTCTCCCGTGTGTACGCTGTCGTTCGGCCGATCTGCCCTGTACCTTCGAGCATCCACCCCCCAAGAGGCCTCGACGTGAATCGTCGGGTCATATGGGAGATCATTCGGGTTCTGTAGCTTCGTCCATTGATCCTGAATCATCCTTTTTGCCACCGTCATGGGAAGAGCCGCCCAACCATCCTGCGTCTCATCTTCCCTCCCGCGGTGCTTCTGTTAACCCTGCTGTTCACCAACCAGCTTTTGCTCCGCTAGAGGATGTGCCTACGAATGGGGCCGTCTCCCCTGCTGTGTCGGGACACCTGGTCACAGTTGGCCGATCTCCTACGCAGTTCGTGCAGAGCCTTGACCAGCTCGAAGGCTTTTCGGCCCATTTGTTTGGGGCGTCTGCCGAGTCGGACCCTTGGCTCCTTCGGCATTGCTCCTTCGATGATGCCGGCGTGAAGTGCTTCTACAAGGTCCACTTTCGTAATGCAGGCGGTGTTCCGACGGCGGACAAAATCCCGGTTCATTTCATGCTTGCTGCAGACGATTTAGCTACGTCGGCCAAGCAGGAGACATCCTGTCGATTCAGTGGCGACGCTACCCGGGAAGAGCTCAATCGCTTGGTTCCGCATGATTATGGCCAACGACTGGTGTCTCTGTGAGTTCTTCGTACCTTGAACATCATGGTCATGTGCTAACTTGGGAAGGTTCATCAAATATGTCTGGCCGGCATTGCCGCTCATATCCCGCTCTCAGATGGGACTGACCCCCTCGTGTTCAATACCCGAGCCATGGGCTCTAGAGCGCACGCCGGTGCATTTGCTTGCAGCGGTCTATGCATCTGCTCTGCCTTTTGCCGCCCATGACGATTATCTGTGCGTGCTGCAAACATATAACGCTCCGCCGGCGGACAGGCTCTGGCGGATGGCCTATGAGTTAATATCCGAGGAGATTCACACACCACACCTGGCTGTTCTGCAGACAGCTTTGCTGTACCTGCATCGGCCACTTGACGAGGCCCGAGCTAGCATTGCTGACACCCCATTTGTCTGGTCATTTGTCGGCACCATTGTGGGCCTAGCCGAATCCCTGGGGCTACATATCGAATGCCGCATGTGGGGGATACCCGCATGGGAGAAACGTCTGCGGCGCCGGCTGTGGTGGGCCGTCTATGCCGAGGACAAATGGCGCAGCTTGCTGATGGGTCGACCACCGTATATTCATCGGAGTGAATGGGACGTCAGTGACCTGGATGGAGCGGACTTCCTCTACCACACCAGGGGTGCTTCTTCATCGTCATCAGGGGTCCACCAACCGCAAGATCCGGTGCCTTTTCGCTACCTGGTGGACCTGTCTGGCATTGCAGAACAGATCTATGAATCGTTTTAGTAAGTATACGAGGATGGTGCTTAGTTTTGGCGCATACTAACAGTTAATTAGCACCCTCCGCAAATCACAATACCTATCTGAAAGATTCCGGGTCTCACATGACACTGGCCGGCCATTGTTGGAGAAGCTGAATGACTGGTACTCCTCACTGCCGGAAAGCTTCCGGCTACCCAACTGGAGTAAGTCTGTCAGCGGACTTGCGCCATATCCCACATCGATCCACTTCGCCTATCTGATCCTGGTCCTGTTTGTCTACCGGGCCCTCCTTCGGCCGATGGCTCGGTCGTCCAGTCCGCCGTTAATTTTCGATCTGGACGAGATACCCACGAACCCCTCGGCATTGGATACAGCTGTTGATGATTCACCTGTTCTAGACTTCCTAAATATGCCCGAGATTGATTCCTTCCCTGCGGTGGAGCTGTCTGATCACAGCACGGGCGAGACGACCCTAAACTCGGCGGAGCGCTGCGCTTCGATAGTAATCAGCTTCACTCGGCGATTGACGTCGAGTGACTTCACAGGGTTTTGGTATTCTTGTAAGTCACACTTGTACCCAATCATCCCTGAAGGTGGATACTAATCAAGAGTCTGTGCAGGGTCTCGCATCGGCTTCGCAACCGTCTCCAACTTCGCCCTTCTCCTCTTAGTCCAAGCGCCCAATGCCGAACGAGCAGCCAAGGGTAAACAGCTTGTTGACTCCTGGCTGCGTGTGCTCCGCTGCCAAAGCCAGAGCTTCCCCATGATGAAGCTTGGCCTAACGCGACTGGACGCCATGCATTGGGTGGGACTTGGGCAGACATTCGTTCTACCTCAGCACGTGCAAGAAGTGATTCAATCATCGGGGAACTGATAATCTTCGGCCGATTGTTCCTGCCTCAGGTGTACCATGGTATGAGGTCGGCAGCCGTGGGCTCGGCCATCGGCATCAGAGTTTTCGTATGAGGCCAGTTCTATAAGAACGGGCTCCTTGACGAGGGTATTGTAGATAGCCAGATAAGAAACATAGTCACAGACACGCAAATCAAACTGTACATATATACAATCGAATTGAAAAGAATCTTGATCAAGATGCCTGACTTCCTAATCGACCTTCTCAAGCGAAACAAGTCTGCAGAAACCAAGCATTCACTGGACGCTCTGCAAGACTCGGCTTCAGAAATGACATTGATCGAGTAAGTTAACCATACTGGTTCTTGTCTATCTTGAAATACAAAGCTGACAGATGCCAGGAAAGCAAAAGCAAGACCGTATCACATACAAAAGAACAAAAACAGACAAACAAACACGCATTTCAATCGTAAGTCATGTCTACATATATAGATTGCTAGCTCTGGCTAACGAATATCGCTGTAGCGGCCGATCTTTGTTTCGGCTCATGTTGCCGGAACTGATCGAGTGTGAAGTTTTTCACCTTTACGTGGAGGGAGCTTTCGTGAAACTACCGCAGTCGGCATGTTCAACCAAAAATTACTCCCTACCTAGGCTGGGATCGAGATCTCCTTCTCCGTCATTTGCCAGAACGACAAGTAGCAGATCATGGTATACGCCGCCAACATGTAAAACCGTTTATAGGTTTTGCGATCGAAGGCAACGCCACCGTGCCAGACGCATCGGAACCCAACGATGCATGCGAAAATATTGTGCAGGATGCCTGTGATGACGAGTCCCGCTACCGTCCAATGTTGATTCGGGAAGGAAGAGCCCTGGATACAAGAAGACGTGGCAACGAGGAGCACGACACCCGACCCGATGACCAGCATTGCGGTGCTTGCTCGGAGGAGCCGTTCTCCCTTGGGTCCAACCACCACCGGAAGCGTCTGTCTCTTCATCTGTCTGTCCCCCTCGGCATCATGGAACTCCTGCATGTGTACTGTGGCCATTACCCACGTAGAGAAGAGTAGGAGGATATGCTTCGGCATGACCGGGAACGACGGGATCTCGCTGTGAATGATGGTGTCCACAAGTCGGAACATGTTGTATGCACCAATGGATGCAAACGCGTTCCGGAAGATCCAGTGGTTGATCTTCGGCCAGACATAGCAGAAATATACCCAAGCTTGGTATGCTCCGAAGAGGCCGGCGGCTTCCGGACCCGCGAGGTGGCTGGCAATGAAGGGACAAATGGCCCAACTTAGGAGCCAACGTCTATAGGCATCAGGGATGCAGAGCAAGCCTGCCGGGATCGGTCGGTGCGGCTTGTTGGCGATGTCTTCGTCGACGGAGAGGACTTGGTTCACGATCTCGAACACGTACAGGTGGCAGATGAAGCAGATGAAGGTCTTGATGAGCACTAGGGCAAGATGGGTCCAGGGAGTCGTGAGGAGGAGGGCCGGCGCAGGCAGGAAACGAGCGATGAGACCGATGATGGGGAGGACTAGGCCTTCACGGATGTTGGCACGAAGTAATCTTTCTGTGATGAGAAATTCATGATGCAGAATTTGGCGTATGGGCTCATGGACACCCTTTGGGATTACATGGTCACTTTTAAGGGGTTGGATGGTCGATCTGGAGAGTGCCAGGCACTGGGTAGTAGTGGTAGTCATTTTGATATTCAGAACATTTGTTAGGATGCAATCAATCAGGTAATCCCTTAATCAGTCAGTCAGTTGAACCATCAGTGCTTCTATCCCACAATCCCCCAATACATTTCTAGGACATACTGCACCACACCTGATATAAACCACGACCCGACATGACGGAGAACCCCCGGGAGCCAAACCTTAGAGTACATCCGTAGCGTCCCCAGGACTGGCCGACAACTGAACACGTCAAGCAGTTAAACCGGCTTCTTTAGCGAACCCCACCTGTCAAATGTCCAATTGGTAGACCCATTTCGGGGCCGTTTGACGAAAAGGCGGGCCTTTCGACTATCGTGATGGAGCTCGCTAAGACGGATCAACCATGACCGGGATTTGGACCGCTGGCGTCCCAGCGGTGCCTTCTAGTGTCTGCAAGTGGTCCAGTCAGGTACATTCAGTGGCTCCCTCGTGCCTTCACTACCAGGCTAGCGCTCAGGCCTGGTAAAGGCGGCCCCATCGTCGTCCTCTGTCCTGGGCTGGCTACAGCAACGGTCCGTTTGCTAGTTCGAGGTGTCAATCCCGTCCTCTGGGACTCGAAGTGGATCTCCGCTGCATCCTTACTAAAATGGCGTGGAAATGGGGTGAAAATGGGGTTAATCCAGGGCTGACTCCCTGTTATTCCCTGTGTGCCTTTCATTGTCTCTAGCACGATGTGGTAATATACTACAAGGGTTTATATGCCTCGTACTTTATCCATATCCGAATCCCGCCGTGTTAATGATCAATTATTAGCCGCTCCTTATTGCCTAGCAGTAGGCGATTGATATGGCATGATTCCCTTGGTTTCAGACAGTTTCCAGGCTGAGCACGGTCCACTCGAGTCTCGGCTGAAGGATTTGACCAGCCAATCGGTCTGTCCAGTGAACGAGCGGTTTGAGTATCTAATGCGTTGTCAGCCAATCTTTCGGGTCAAAGGTAATGCTGATCATGAGGATCAGACATTCTGTCGGGTATTCTCACGGTGGAAAATGGGAAGGGATCAGCAGTTGCATACTTCTATGGATTGATGATAGCATCGATATAGGGTCAATCCTCGATTTCTTCTACAAAATGCATAGCAAAGGTCCATTAAGAACACTCATCTTATGATGTAACCCTAATCCACTATAATTAATAACCCATGTTCTTAGAACTGCAAGTGCTCCCGCCAAACAAGTATATCAACGGTCGTTATACGCAGGGCTGGGTAACGGGCAAACGCCGAGCGTCTTTAGAGTTGATAACCCCTCCGACGCTTCGCTGTAAGATTACTAGTCTGGCAAATGGCTTCAATGCATTGGTTAGTCTATTGACAAATACTTTTGCTGCCTGCCGTTTGCCTACTCCTTCGAAGAGTTAGGCCTATATGTATTGTTCATAATTCTCTTGTTCATGTGCCGCACAGTACCGGATCCTCCTGCGGAGAGTGCATTATGCAATGCGCTGTTGGTGTCAGGCTCTACAGCGGGATTGGAGCCGAGGAATTTGATTGGTGGCTTTACGTTCCTCTATGATGTCCGTGCTAATCGAATGGCGCTTGGCTGTTTACTGATACTCGTGAAAAGACGCTGGCGACTAGCGATCGAGATCGGCTGGCTGTCCTTTCATGACTATACACGTCAACTTGTCAAAATACGGATATCCCGGATCCTCGTGCTTGGTAAAGCTTGCAGGTGCTGTTCCTTGACGAACCCTCTGACCTAGGGCTTTAGCTTTACATCATTCAGGTAGCAGGCACCTTGTACAACATATGCTGCATGCATATACATATGTAGAGATAATTGCGTTTGTGATGTCATTGCATCATATTACTCAATGATTTTCGCGCAGTTCACCAGATTCATCCAAGTTTTCTTTTGTGGGAAGTTTGAATGGACTGGTCATATACCAAATACTCATTGGGATATGCCCTCATTCTGCCTTAGGTGTTAATTCATGCCTGACGGGGATTAAGGAGATAAGAGATAAATCACCTGAAGATAAGATCGAATCGATCATCATCGCCGTCATTCATCCATTCATTATCATCAATTTCCATCTTAACCCCGCGGGTTCAATTGAGCAATGTCGCATGTGCATCTTGCCCCGCCCTCTAGTTGCCTCAATGCGCCCTTCTAGCGTAAGTAATCAACAGAAATCTCTCTCCCTAACAATGACAACCATCTGACTACCTTATCGCAGACACATTTTCGCGTTCCCTCTTCTCGTCGTCCCAATACCTCCGCTCGGCCCAGTGCTGGTCCCCAGTTCGCGTCAACACCTCGTTTCGTGCTCTCCCAGCAGACCCCTGGTTCAACCGCGCGGGTACATGGCAAGGATGAACTCGTCGATGGCGATGAATCTCCTCAATCCACCCCTATCGCGAATACACGGGCCGCCAAAAGAGAGCAAGGCATTGGACCAACCCAGCGCCAGAAAGAGATAATCGAAGACTCCGATGACGGGCTCGATGACAATGAAGGAGCACACAGAACCTCGCACAATGACATCACCGGGAGCCCAGACCCGGATAGTAGTCCACCAGGCGAAGCAGGCGAACTCGAGGCTGAATTTGAAGCTCTCTTCGGACCGACGACGACACGACCAAAGCGAAGGCGTGCATCGCTTGACCCAGAAACACCCTTCACCCAGCGAAGAAAACACGATGTCGATATCATTCAAACATCTTCCCCGGAAGCATCATCGCCTACGATGGACCGTACTCAACAACAAATCCAACCTCCGAACCAGACATATCCCGAGATAAACCCTCAGCGAACCACCACCACCACCACCAGTCCCCAAACTTCAACCCCAGCAACTATCAAACCCTCCTTCCGCAACAACCCTCGCTTCACGCTATCAGCCTCCCAGGCATTTCCAGGGACCCAACCTCAATCAAGCGCCCGGCCACCCCCATTCGCAACACCGGCACCGACGTCCCCGCCCCCGAAACGGAAACCGACGTTCGTTCTTCCGCGCTCGCCGTCCCCATCCCAGGCCGCTGAAGACCCCTCTGCCATTCCTACCCCATTCTCCCCTTCGTCTCACACGCTCCGCCGTCGTGGTCGCGCCCGCTCCTCGGCCCCTAGTTACCTGCCCGGCGGCATGGCGGCCGAAGTGCGCAGCTGGATATTGGAAATGAGCACTAAGCGGGAACAGATGCAGATGAACTACCGAAACCGCACCGGAGCCGGACCCGATTTGCAAAGGTATTTTCTCGTCGTTCGTATCGCGGATGTTCGTCAGTCTGCCCTCGCTAGTTCCGGACCGCTTGCTTTCGTGCGAGGCCAGCCTGTGACGTCACTGGAAGATGAAGAGGATGCTTCTGGTCATCGTGAGAGCAGTGAGATGAAACATATTCTTCTTCTAGGGACCCCGCGATCCCAGCCTGCTGGCGTGCCGTCGCAGCATCCAGATGCTAGTCCTGTTCCTGAACTTGTTGGGGGGAACCTGGTGGGTGTTCATCGGGGATTGGTCTGGGAGTTAGATTTGGAGGATAGATTGTCTGGATATGGTGTACAAAGTGATCCTAATAGCGACGGGCAAGGACAACCTGGGGCCACAACCAAGTGGCTTGTGTGTATGGAGTGGGATCTGATATCAGTAGATTGATAGATGATGATGATGATGATGATGATGATGATCGTGGTTATGTCCTGATATTATTAACAACTATGTATACTACACTACGCATGATACCCCGGACTTTACATGTTTATCTGTGAATGTTTTGCTCCACTGTGGGAGAGGTCTATACATTTCGTTAGATGACATATATACAAAGAATCAGAGCACAAAGTCTAATGCAATGCTTTTATCCAACAAGCCACAACATCCCATATCAAAGAGAACCGGACGCCAAAAAGTAACCACAACAGTCATAGATCAAAATCAATCAAACCCCGCCGTCTCCTTCGAAACAACCTTCAAAGCATCAACCGCAACATTACAACCCCACTTGACCAACTTCTGTTCCTTCCCAGAAACGACGTCCGACTTGGCCACCACCTTACGCAGAAAGAAGATCAGCCCCTTGACAATCTGGGGCGTCTCACGGGTGCGGATGAAGATTTCCATCAGGGCCTTCTCATCCTTCTCGTCGTCGGATTTCTTGGCGTGCTTTTTGCCGCGTTTCTGCTTCTGGGATTGCTGGATGACGCTGATGAGGAGGAGCTCGACGAATGTCTTGGATTTGGGCTGGAGGTATGCGAAGTTGAGGGTCTTCAGGATGCCCAGGGTGAGAGTGTTGTCTGCGATGAGGCTGCCGTACATCTTTGCGAGGTTGACGATGGCTTTCATGGGGAGTTGATTCTGTTCGTCCTCGTCGAAGTCGACATCGTCTTCGTCGTCCATGTCACCTGTTTCGCCCATGCGTTTGAAAATATTCCAAAGTGCGAACATGAAGGAGACTTTGAGACGGCGGCCTGATTCGCCGCAGAGGCGACGCGCGATTAACGTGTAGTATGGGTTGTAAGCTTCTTCTTCCATGGAGCAGTGTGTTAGTACGCGCGGGATTTCGTATTCTTGTGCTTTCTTCAGGCGGAGTTTGAGAAGTCGGACATGCGCGTCTTGGTAGTCTGTTGCGGACATGATGGCAACGAAGATGGAGCGTCGGACGTCTGTGTTCATTCGGTGGGCTTTTGCGAGGTTGACGAAGTCAGGTTCCCCGTCACTATCTTCCTCTTCTGCTGCGGTGGGGTTCTGCTGGTCTGCTGGGAGGTTGGAGAGTTCCTGGCGAGCGGAGACTAGCGGGTCTTCTCTCCAGCTTGCGCCGACGAGCCACCATTTCCCTTTCTTCGAGGAGTTGTGAATGTCGTCTCGCGAGATGCTGATGGGTTCGGTGGCACGGATGACACGGGAGTTGTTCAGAGATCCTAGGATCTTGCGCATTTTCGTGATGTGCTCGGTTGTTACACTGGAGCCGACCCCAGCCTTTAGCTTGTTGTTTTTAAGGTCGGTGATTGTGTCGATCATGAACTTCGTGCGGACGGAGAGAGATGCTTCGCCGGCCTTGGCTACTGCCGGCTGGATAAGAAGCACGATGTCTTTCAGGGACGATGGGTCGTCTTGCCTGAGCTGTGGTCCAGAGTCTATCGCTGTTAGTTTGTTGCGTCCAATCGTGTGCAAGACGATACTTACTCCTGATGATCTTGAGGAGTAATTCGGTATTCTCCTCAGTGATGTCTTGCAAAAAGAGCCGAATGTAATCGAAGATTAAGGTACTAGAGATGACATGGAAGTTGTAAAGTTGCGCGAGAAGAGACATGAGGTTGATGGACTCCTTCCCTTCGAAGCTGCCACGCTCATCGCCGCGGGCATCGAATGTTTCAACTATTTTTTGCACGAGTTCGGCACCAAAATCCGTTCCAACAACTTTGTATACAGCTGCGATGAACCCTGCATGGAGAATCAGGAACGTATCCTGAAGAGCGGACCGTTCGCAAATGAGGCCGAAAAGTAGATTTATCAGTATCGTAGTAACTTCTTTTCGTGGGTACTCCCGGTAGAGCTTTTCATACTCGGCCAGAATGGAGACTAGATTGGCCTCGGACAATTTATTCAGGTGTCCTTGGGCCTGTCTCTTTAGTCGAACGAGAGACTCTGACTCGGACCCGGATGCAGCCCGCAACGACGGAGGAATATACTTCTGTGGACGATTCTCGTTTGTTTCTGCGACAGGTGCAACATATGGGTTTTCTCGTTTCTTCGGGACGGGCTTCTCCTCTTCACTTTCTTCCATATCCTCGTCATCATCTTCATCCAGATCGTCGAACATGTCTTCATCTTCGTCAAGGTCATCCATATCATCCATATCTCCCTCGCTCCCCAAATCACTTCCATCTTCTTCAGAGTCACTCTCAGGTTCTAAGCCCTGCGCTTTCCTCCTCTTATTCCTCAACCATTCGTCGGCTTCCCTTTTACGCTTCCGACCTTCGTCTGCCGACCCCTCGTCCAAATCGCCTAGCAAGTCGCCTAGACCATCCTCTTCAAAGGATTTCGGCAGCTTTTTCCCTTTCTTAAGTCCAAGCTTTTTCTCCAGCGCAGCAATCTCGGCTTCGTCTTCGTCGAGCTTTTCTTGAACCGCTTTGGATATTTGACGCGGACGTATTGTCTCTTCCTCCTCGCTACCACTTTCGGGATCGGACTTTCCAGGCTTCGCCTTCTTAAGGATCGGTTTCGGTTGCTGTTTCGCCTGCTTTGCAGCCTTTAACTTAGCAAGCACATCTTCCTCGCCAGCTGCGTCCGACTCGGCCCCAGAACCATCATCGAACCCCTCAAAGTCATCGTCATCGTCATCGTCACGACGGTCCAACTGTTGTCTCCCGCCGTGCTTGGAAACCGGCGTTCGTTTCGTCCTCTTCTGTTCTCGTTCCTCCCGCCGACGATCTTTTCGGGTGGCAGGTCCGTTCCGCCTCTTCTTCTTGTCGCCGTAGGAATCTTTAATTCCCAACTCGTCGCGCAGATTCCGAGGCAGCGAGGTCGTATTATGCATCGGACGCGGCATTGTGGGCCAATTATCCTGCCTCCGCAGAGTTGTGTTACTCGAGGCTCTTGCGCAACGAAACTTTTTTTTATGCCGGGAAGAAAGGTGGGCGGAGTGGAGGCGGAGAGCGATTAAAGCCAAGGCGGTGAGACGCCCTCAACTGCGGAGGGTTGTCTCGACCGCCCGATGTCAAGATGGTGTTTAGTGTCCAGTTCCAAATTGCAGAACAGAGAGGTCTTTGAACGTTGTCGACCTTTCAATTAGCTTGGAATAAACCCAGCTCCGGATCTTCTTAGTTGGTGTTGTATCTACACCACGAAAGAGGGACATCCTATCCCGGGTACATCGCACACAAGCGAATTTCATTACTGTTCGTCGCAAATCTACAATGGCACCACATCTCGGCCACGAGGAGGTATGTGCATCGTCCTCCATTGTCCTAGTTACATAAGTATTTTTTATGCGGGTATGAGTCTGTACTAACGATCAACAGTTTTTCTCCTCCCTCTCCGACCTCCTATCCAAGACCTCCCAGAAAGCCCGAGGCTCCGTCTTTCTTACCCAGAAGCCTCTCATTGACAGCACCGCATCATTAGAGAATGTGTCCTCCTCATCGCGGCCATCTATCCTCATCCGAGCAACAGACGGCAACACCAACGCTCCCAATCCGAAGAACAACAAGGTCGGGAAGAAGACCGTCTCAAAAGTGAAGCTGTCGACGATAGTGGCGCCGGAGGACCTCGAGGCTTTCTATACCCGCTATGCGGAGGTCTGCAAGGCGGGGATGACAGGCTTGAAGAAGAGGGATCGTAAGAAGGGCAAGGCTAAGGCGAAGGGTGGTGCAAAGGCTGCTAAGGCTTAAGCATACGGATCGGCACTTTGATGGGCGATGTTGTTGAGTTTGGTCCTGTTTGTTCTTTGCATTGATGGCGTTGTCTGGTCATTTTACTTTCCTGTGATTCCATTCTTTTTTTCTTGTTCGTTTCATGTTGATATGTTAGATATACATATACCTAGACCGGTTGATGAGCCGAGGACCTGGACCGAATCGAGCAATGAACGATTCAATCTTATTCCCTTCTTGGAATGAATAATAGCAGGGTATATTAGCTATGACTATAACTGAGATATGCTAAATTACAAAGGGGACATTAGACAATAAATAGTCAAAGCAAGACCCATCCGCCAACAAACCGTACAATAACCCAAAACCGACAAATATGGTAGAACAGTGCACGAATCATCATCATAGAAACAGGGACGTCATACGGAGTACAGAGAGTGCGTGGAAAGAATACTGTAAGTGGACTAACGGCGAGAGATTGAACCAGATAGGAAAAAAGAAAGGAAGGCAAAGAGGAGATATGCGTCAGAGACGCCGGCAGCCAAGTTACACAAGTTGCCTTGGCAGAACATTTAATCCAACTCCCAAGGGTTGGCTTCGGATACCGACTGTTTCCTGGGACAGTCGGGTGCAAGCGGAAGATCAAAGTCGTCCACAGCCTCCTGAGGGTCCGCCACTTGGTACTCATACTTATGATTCAACTCCCCCACGGCGGATGTCAAAGCTGGGCCTAATACGATCCGAGCGGCTATATGGATAAGGACGATAAATAGCTGAATCGGAGGGATAAGGACCACCGTGCATGTCTTCTGAATCAGGGAGGCTGCGTTTTCTTTGTCCGAGGGGCTTGTAAGGGCTAAAGCGGACTGAGGTGGCATCGGCGAAAGTTCTCGCTCCCGGGACGCCTTGGACCGACGACGAAATTCCATGCTCATGCTGCTGAGGTTGGGGTTGGAATCTGTGGTCTTAGATGTACCAGCATAGCTTGCAATGGACATCTGATCATCCGGCAGTGCACCAGGCACTCGTCGAAAGTCTTCCTCCGAGAAAGACGCCCTGGGGGAAGCCCGGGGCCTAGGTGAACAGCAATCTTCGCACTTAACTTCTGGTACAGTACGTCCTGCAGAAAAATCAACCTTCTTGAATTTTGGATTCTCCGAGTGACCCTGGTTGTTACTGGTTTCACGCAAACCGAAATCTATGCCGTCAGTTGATGTAGCCGAAGGGAAAGGCGAGCCCGAATTTGATTCAGTTGGCGACGACAATGAAGAAGCGATGGAGTGAAATGAGTCAACACTGGAAGATAATGGCATTTCGGGTTTCACAGGTGGCTCAGGAGTGTCTTCAAACCTTGCCAGCAAGGTCTGGAAGCTCTGTTGAGTTTCGGACACGGAGCGTCGAGGCAAATCTGTGATTTCGGGAACATTGTCGGGCAGTGAAGGTTCGTTATCGTCAGGAATAGTTTCGAGGACAGTGCTATTGCTACCTTTCGCTGTGAAGCAGCTATCGTCCGTTAAATTGCCATCGGTGTCTTCGCCAGCGCTCAGTGAATCAGTCAGAGCGTCTTCGCGGGCCGGACTCTTATCAAGTATGTAGGCTGAAAGGATAGGAGCGCTCTCCCGTCGTCCTTTCGGACGCCATGCTCTTTTGCGCCGCGGAACCCTGGCCTCCTCCGGTATCTCGACCGTGAACCCCCTTTTGAACGGACAAGGGGTGACTTCATAGCGAAGGACCTGAGGCAAGGCCTCTTTCATTGCTGTCACGGACTTCCTATCCTCTTCCGTTTCCTTGGGAAGTTCGATACGATAATAGGTAAGAGGGCGAATGCGCAGAACAAATGTTGATTCTCCGTCAACACACCAACATTGGGAGTTCTTGAGGATTGCATGAACGACACTGCCGCACTTCAGGAACACCGTCAAGCCATGAACCTTTTCGAGTCGAAGAGGCGCAAATGCAACTGTTCGTTCTGTAGGGGATCTCCACGGAAGGGTTTCAACCGTATCAACTGGGTAATCGAAGTCCGCTGGCGCGGTGCTAGACGGGATGGGCGCAAGTGCTCTCGGGGCGAAATGGACTACTTTGGCTGCAGGGTGGTAAAAAAGATCATTTTCTGAAGGCCTCAGTGATTCTACACTGCGTTTGGAACGTGGAGTCAATTTCGAAGGGAGAGTGGCAGACCGACGGATCTGAGGAAGCGGCGCATCCGAGGTATCGGTCATGGTTCATGAGGACTAGTGAAAAGAAAGGGCGGATAACAACACAGGTTACATTGAATAGACAAAGCCGATTGCGAGACAATACAAATGTGATGTAGAAAGCGAGAAAAGAAAGACCGCAGTTAGTTGAGAATGAGTGTCGATGGAGGGAGAGAATGTAAAGAATGAACGACCATCTCTGGTCAGCCAGCGTGATACGGGGTGATAAAGTTCATCTGATTTGCCTCAACAAAACCGCGGGGGAATCAGGAACAGACCGTAGCCTCAGGCATAAGCTCACATGTCCTAGTGGGTCCTGCAAGCGCCTGCGCTTAGTTGGCGGCTGCTTAGCCAATCCCCTGCCGCTGCCATAGAGGTTCTTATGCGGCTGCCTGCGCTCTTCCTGCATGTCCAGAAGATCCACAAAGCGAAGAATACACGTTGACTCTCCTATATCTCCCTCCTTCTCTAAGAAGGTTTCGAACTACGAAGAGCGCTCAAAATGCCCAATTTTGAGCCCAATGCCGTCATTCGCGGTGCTCAACTCACAATTGTTGGAAGTGAGTCTCCCCAATACACCACCCTTGAGTCCGGAACTTCCGGATAGCCCCTTTTGGTTCTGAAGGGGTTATCAACCTGAATTCAGATCTCCAGACAATAGGGTCATGAGCTCCAATGGACCATGGTTATCAAAACTGTGATTCCATGGGCCCTCAGCAATCGATAAGGCCAGGGGCCAGGGATGGAGATCCTCTTGGCATCTTTACTAGTGGATAATGTGGCTGACCATGTGGCTGACCAACTGGCCGACAGCTGTTCGAGCACTGCGGAATCCAGAACTTTTCAAGCATGAGCACTTTCGACAAGCGGGTTTTGCGATAGCCGTAGGAGTTGCCATTGAATTAATCATTCAGATCCCCGTATGTTCCCAGCGCCATAATAGGAAATGATCTACAGGACTGATGATATTCCCTAGATCATCGGGGTCAAGTTTCTACTATGGATCATATCTTGGATGGCCGACTTGGAGAGCGCAACTTGGGACGATACTCTTCTTGAAAGTCTTGATTTTCTGAGCAAATCGGTTCTTCAAGTTCCCTTCTTGGTGATGACGCTCATGCGATACATCACTCCAACTCTCGATGAGATGTAAGTCTCTCGTTATTCCGTACCCACATTAGTTTCATGTACTTATTTGACAGCTTTATGGAATCCATAAAATGGGTCGACTCAACTTATGTTGACAAACATAAGGCGGATGATCCTAAGACCCTACGGGCCATGTACTACCCAAGCCTTGCGATGTACTCCACGAAAGGGAGTGTTGGGGTGTCTAAGCCAAAAGGTGAATCGATGCTCGTATTCGTTCGTCGCTATGGGCGCAAGGTCGGGATGATGCTTGGTATCTTTTTGTTGTCGCTTCTTCCCATCGTCGGGCGATTCGTGATGCCAGCAGCTTCGTTCTTCTCCTTCCAGCAGATGGTGGGCCCAGCCCCTGCAGCTGCTATCTTCGGAACCGGTCTCGTGCTTCCCAAGCGCTACTTGGTCACCTTCCTCCACACCTATTACTCTTCCCGCAGTTTGATGCGTGAACTCGTGAGTGCTCATGAATACTGTAAATTCTGTAAGGTCATGTATGTATGACATCTGACAATTTCAACAGCTCGAACCATACTTCTGCCGTATCAAATACACTCACGAACAGAAGCGCCGCTGGTTTGCGGATCGGGAAGGTGTCCTATTTGGATTTGCCTTTGCCTTCACTGTTGTGCTGAAGACACCGTTCATCGGAGTTCTCATGTACGGTATTGCCCAAGCATCCACGGCCTATCTTGTTACCAAGATCACAGATCCTCCACCAGTCCCAGCGGAGAGTGAAGGCTTTGCTGAAAGCCAGGTGACTTGGACGAATAAGCACGATTTTCTGCAGTTGTCACTGGAGAACATTGACAAGATCAACGTTGCTGCGCAGAACAAGAAAGGTGGTGATAAAAGTGATGATCCTGATGCGCTTCGGCGGAAGTTCGCCTAGGTTCCGGTGTTCATTCAGGATAATGTGGATGTGTTCTTAGTTGTGGATATCAAAGGAGATAGATAAAATGAGTGGAAGATATGGATGAATGGTTTCATCTTCATCCACGTCACCACTGATCCTTACTTGGAGACGGTGCGGAACATATTCCGGCCTCTCCAATGAGATAGAATATAAAAAGCATTGAATTTGATTCCTCCCGACCACGCCCGCTGATAAGCGCGATAGGTCGATCGTTTTCGTAATCTCCAACTGCGGGGTTGGTAAAGCAATGAATCAGTCCAAGATAATCAATCAATTATCATTCTGCCCATGAGGGGAAAGACCGGAGTTACCCTCGCCTCCTCATTTGGAGTTGCAACCCAAACCCAAACCCTCTTAAATGCGCCTTTGCCTCCTGGGTCCCTTCATCTTAGCTTCACACCGTGGATATATACTAGAACAGAACCAGACATCAATCGCTATCAGATATCAGTATAAACATGGGACACAAGGGTATCCGCACAGCTCTGAAAGTCGATCTGGATAAGCCAGCTTGGGAGCAGCCTGGATTACATGTATGTCCTCAATGCCCTCTCCCAATACATCCCATATCTGTACTAATGAATGCTCCAGAACCGCTGGCACCCCGATGGTATATTAAACCTCCCGATCATTACAATGTAGTATCTTGTCTAAGCATATATCTCATAACAGTTCCCTCCTGCGGTAAAATCGCCAACAATGAAGTCGTCAAGATTGAATGTCTGGACTGGACCGGAGGGCAAATCAAAAACAACGACTCAGCTGACGACATTAAGAATGTGGACCTGACACAGATTCATTACCTATCTGGCCCGTTCGACATTGAAAATGCCGAACCCGGAGATGTCCTTCTGGTAGAAATCCAAGATGTCCAGCCTTTCCAAGACCAGCCTTGGGGGTTCTCTGGTGTGTTTCATAAGCAGAATGGAGGAGGCTTTTTGGACGAAATCTATCCTGAATCGTATGAAAAAGGCCCTACTGGAGTTCCTCCCTCTTTGCACAGATCCTTAAAGAGACTAACCTGTAATTGTATAGAGCGAAGGCGATTTGGGACTTCGAAGGCATCTTCTGTTCCTCCCGCCATATCCCTCATGTACGCTTCGCAGGCCTCATTCATCCCGGTATCCTAGGATGTGCACCCTCCGCGGAGGTTCTTGCAGAATGGAATCGCCGTGAAGGTGAATTGATTGCAGCCAATACAACCAGCCGTGAAGTTGCGAAGCCACCTGAGCCTAAGAGTGCACATGCTGGGAGCGCGGAAGCCAGTCTCAAGGAAATAATCGCAAAAGAAGGAGCGCGAACTATTCCTGTATGTCCCAGTCCAACAAAGCCATTACTCGGAACTAATAAAAGCAGGGTCGTCCTGAACATGGTGGAAACTGTGACATCAAAAACCTCTCCCGGGGCTCGAAAGTGTACCTCCCGGTCCACGTCCCAGGAGCTAAATTCTCCGTAGGAGACCTACACTTTTCTCAGGGTGATGGGGAAGTCTCTTTCTGTGGTGCCATTGAGATGGCCGGGGTCATTACTCTCAAATTCACCGTGATGAAGGGCGGCATGGCCAAGTTAGGCATGAAGTCGCCAATCTTCCATCCAGGACCGGTTGAGCCACAGTTTGGCCCTGGTCGATATCTCACCTTCGAGGGTTTCTCCGTTGATGAGAACGGGAAACAACACTGCCTCGATGCTACCGTCGCCTATCGACAGACGTGTCTCCGCGTGATCGAGTACCTTCGTCGGTATGGCTACAGTGACTACCAGATTTATTTACTGCTTAGTTGTGCTCCAGTTCAGGGCCATATTGCTGGTATAGTAGATATCCCGAATGCCTGCACCACGATGGGGGTGCCGATGGATATCTTTGATTTTGATATCAGACCTGAGGCGGAGGTTGTTAAATTGGATATGGGCAGCTGTGCATTTGCTAGCAACTAATCCAGTTATGGATCGACTGTGTGGTGTCAAATACAACGATCACTCAATGAATAATTCAAGGTCCCTTTTGTCTTCCCTTATCTTGTTTAACTTATTAGGGATAAGATCATCCTAAACGGATTCCGTCACTAAAAGCGCCTATTGCCAAACCACAGTCTATGCTATGGAAAACCGTGGTATCGTTCATTATAGGGAATACTATGTAGTTCTCTGCAGAGTGTACAGAGTACAGCTTTCTGACATGAATCATTTCATCAGTCATTTTGTGTTGACTGCTGAAGAAACATGAAAGGATAGTTAGTTCTAGGCAACAATATTAATGTTGATTTGAAGCAAAAGTGGATCAAAATGTTTCACATCGTGACTCACCTTTCACTGTGAAGTCTGCTATTGTTTCTCTTATCTGTAAATTTAATTTAAACCAATGCCAAATCTCACTGCTGGGCGCTCCTATGCAGGATCAGAATGATGCTCATGGCAACAACCGAACAAGTACTGCAGCACCTGCAGTTCGCGGCCTCTGTAACAACTCTACTATTTACTTTCTCCTCCTTTCTCGTTAACCATGGATACTCTACAATTGAAAAGACGTTCGGGCCGCGCATATCTGCTGTCATTGTCGGTTCAATCGGATGCATAGTCGCGTACTATGTCACTCAAGCCATCATTGTTTTCCAAGGACGCCATGAGCTTGTACAAATACAGGACCGTCTTATGCTTCTGGTCATTCTTTCCTTGGCATGGAGTTCACTTCTCACACGCACGCACTCTTGGTTGCCAGAATTAACCGGTCTCTGTGTCATTTCACTCGTCTCGGGGATTCCTGTCTTGGTCCTCGATACAATATATAGAACCCGTTACGCCACATACCAAGCCCTGCTTGTTGCGGAATCCCTCCCATTGGTTCATGGGGGTGCCGTGCTGGTATACTGTTTGATTGTATATTTGCGCTTGCGGAGGACGAGGGCGAAGCTAGCCGAGGAAACAAGGTCCAGCCTCAGCAACTCAGACAGTTCCATAGCATCCGAGCGATACCGTGACCATTGCAGCAACCTAGACTCGGAATCGGACTCGGACACAGACATCTCCGATGACGAAGACGAGGAAGATCTTGACACTCGAATCGGGGAGCTTCGCAAGTCAGGTCATTGGATAGACTATCTCTCAGACTTCAAAGTCTTTCTACCGTTCCTCATCCCGAGAAAAAATATCAAAGTCCAATTGTGCTTTCTGGTCTGTGTGTTATGCTTGATCACTGATCGTGTGTTGAATGTGCTGGTGCCCACGCAGCTGGGTAGCATCGCGAACAAGCTTTTCACACAGGAGCTTGCTCTCTCAGATCTTGGGATATACTTTGCTTTGAATATTCTCCACGGGCAGTCAGGGTTGGAGATGCTAATGTCACTGGCTAAGATTCCCATCCAGCAGTTCTCTTACCGACAGCTCACCAACGCTGCCTTCAGTCACGTCATGGACCTCACGATGGAATTCCACTCTGAGCGAGACTCTGCCGAGGTCATGAAGTCTATTGAGCAAGGCGCCGCGCTCACGAATGTCTTGGAAACCAGCTTCCTAGAGATAGCTCCAGCGGTCATAGACCTGTTTGTTGCGTTTGTCCTTCTTTACCTCAAGTTCAACTCACTGGCGGCAATGTGCATGCTTATTGCAACGCTGACCTTTCTGTCATTGGAAGTCGCTGCATCCCGCTGGAATATCGATAATCGTCGGCAGCTGACCAAAGCTGAACGAGGCGAGGCGCGTGTGATGCATCAAGCTATTCAAGGATGGCTGACGGTTTCGTCCTTCAACATGTTCGCGTATGAGAAATGCCGCTTCGCAGAGGCAGTCGATAAACACCTCACTGCAAAGCGAAAATGGTCCTGTCGAGATGTGTACTTGACTGGTTTGATGGAAGCATGCTTTCCTGCTTCTTTTGTAGTCCTTGCATGCGTCGTTGCCCATGAGGTCAGTCAAGGCCGGGCGTCGCCCGGAGACTTTGTTTTCCTGATACAGTACTGGGACTATCTCATTTGGCCGATCAAGTACTTGACCAAGGATTACAGGTGGTTGATCGCAGACTTGATCGATGCTGAGCGGCTGCTCGACCTGCTTACCACCAAACCGACGGTGTCTGACAAGTGCGATGCTTTTGATCTTGGACCTGTTCAGGGGTACGTTGAATTTGAGGATGCGTGTTTTTCATACAACAACAAGAGGGAACCGGCTGTCCGTGACATCAATATTTCTGCAGCTCCCGGGGCCATTATCGCCTTGGTTGGCACCACCGGAGCCGGAAAGTCTTCGCTGGTGAAGCTATTACTTCGCCATTATGATGTAACATCCGGGCGTGTCAAAATTGATGGCCATGATATTCGCGATGTAACAAAAGGTTCTCTCCGGAATTCTATCGGTATTGTACCGCAAAACCCTATCCTTTTCAACGCCTCAATTATGGATAATATTCGATACGCCAAGTTGGATGCCTCTGACGAAGAAGTCCATCGAGCATGTCAAGCGGCTGCAATCCATGACAAGATTCTCTCTTTCGCACAGGGCTATCAAACCAAAGTCGGGGAGCAGGGTGTCAAATTATCTGGCGGCGAGGTCCAGCGCTTAGCAATCGCGCGAGCCATTGTGAAGAGCCCACCCATTCTGATACTGGACGAGGCAACCAGTGCTGTAGACACTGAAACAGAGGCCAAAATCCAAGAAGCCTTGAAACATCTCATCAAAGACAGAACAACTTTCGTTATCGCACACCGGCTTTCAACTGTAGTCAATGCAGATCGCATCTTTGTGCTGGATAATGGCAGCATTGCTGAAAGTGGGACCCACCGGGAACTGCTTGAAAAGCAAGGGCGATACTACAACCTCTGGAATACACAACTGCATGAAAATGAGGATCCTATGATGATAAATCTAGAGTCTACAGACTGAATCAAGTTCATGTTAGCTATACGCAGCAGAGACCATACTAGGCTAGCGCCAGAGGTGTCCCCTCCAAAAACTGCTAAGATTGCCTGAACCAGCCATATCCACAATGTTAGAGGATAACACACCATGGATACTACCCGGCCCTGGGTTCATTTATCTCAGGGCCAATTCCCTCCTATCAGGAGGATTCTCATCCTCTGGACAACTTACTGAATCGACCGCATGTCTATATGAAATCGGCCGATACTGCTATTCTTGGTGAGTCAATTATCCCTATCTTTGGGCGTGCTGACTACACTATCCCTATTGGAGAGGTCCTTATAGGTCGGCAGCCACGTTGAAGATGGAGATGATGCCAGTGACAATTAACTTGGTTGTCAAACGACGATGTGGCTCTGTGCTATTTAACATGATTGAGATGCTAGTTGATGCGGGCTTACTACGCAGAGTTAACACTGGGATGACGTTGTTTAAGAATGAATTGAGATTTGGTAAGCCTTTGTAAGTATGCAGCCCGATGGGGCAGTCTATCATTGTTAACTACAACTTCCATTTCTCTTGATTCTTACATTCAAGGAAGGTTCAAGTATGATTGAAACCTATCATATACCTACTGACTGTAGCTCAGAGTCTGATTTTGCTTTCATTGTCTAACTAGTGGGGGGGAGTATTCCTTTTATGCCATAGCTTCATGTCATCGATATTGTAACAAGCTATCAATTAACTTCGTACACATTGCGCTTAAAGCCGACTCTTGTTGTCGCCAATCCTAGTCCATTCGTTCTCTCCAACCTTCTGGAAATCCATCACTTTATTCGGACCTCCAAATCTATTCTGCGTATCCCTCCAGTCTCGTTCGGTGGCGATCTCAGGTCTCCACCGTAGAGCACGCTTCAGTTCCTTCTGCAGGTTTCCCTCCAAAGCATCCGCTATGAACCCACCAATAGTTGGCATTTGCATGGCTCCATTGCCAGATCCACCGACCGCAAGCAGTAATGAGTGGTACTCGGGATGTCTATCAATCAAGAAGGCGCGGTCCACGGTATCAGCATCCCAGCATATACGAGCAAAAGATAGAGGCCTATCAGCAAGATGGGGCATCGTATCACGGAGGAAGTCCCTTGCACGGGCCTCGGCTTCGACAGGAATCTGATGCTTTGCGAATGGGATACTGCGCACCTCGCCGCCATGCTTCGGGTCTGGGACGAAGTTACAATATCCAGGATGCTCGTCGCAGATCTTAAGTTCATGTTTATCCTCATCCGGCTCCATGAAGAATCCCTTAGCAACATTGAACAGCACAGGAAGATTCCGGTATTTCTTAGCCTCTTCGGGCGTCATTTTAATGTGGCAGAGCGTCCAGGCGGTAGGACGGAGTTGTTTCTTAAAGTCCAGGAGACGGTCACTGCCAGCACCTGCAGAAAGAATGGTATTTTCTGCTCTGTGGACGGTGCCGTCCGCCGTTCTAGCCCCAGCCACGTCTCCCTTCTCGTAAACTAGAGATACGACGTCTCCATTCGGAGAGCCGGTGATGAAAGTGACTCCTAGACGCTTCGCCTCGGTGTATGCAGAGAACATGGCCTTCTTGGCGTGGATCCATCCAGCACCAGTCTTGTTCAACCATCCCTTCCAGCCGGGGAAGTTGCCGGTCAGGATGCCGGGGGGCATGGTCTTGCGGAAATCCTCTGCGGTGTTCAGTTTGACAAACTCTGCGTCTGACGAGTCGATCTCGTGTTCTTGTATATGTTTAATCAAAGAGGGGGTGTGACCGGAGACAATTGCCCCCGTTTCATGGAAGTATGGCTGAAATACTGGATCAGTTTTCCAGCCTTTCAGTGCAGCTCTTGTGCATGTTGAGAAGGCGATACTCCAGGGATCAGTTTCAGAGGCTGTTGGATTTTCCACTGGGTGAGCGAACAGTCGGTTTAACCTGTGTCATAGATTCTACGTACCTTTTACCTCTCTGTGCTCCATGATTTTGTTAATGTCATTGCCAGCTGCGATGGGAGAAGGGACAGGGTGCGGGTCTAGGACCGTGACATTTTTGTAGCCACGACGGGCAAGATGTAAAGCAGTAGAACAACCCCAGGTCCCTGCGCCGACAATCAGGATAGATGATGTGGGAGTCAATTTGGAGGATGCCATTGTTGTGTTGTTGAGGGTATAAGCAGGAGGGTAGCTGTTGGGAAAGATGTTTACAGAAGCGCAGCGGAACTACTTCCCTCGTTTTTATATAGGTGAATAAGTCATGCCACTAACAAGCAGAGAACCAGCTGGCTATCCCGAAAGCTGCAACAGGTAAAGCCTGGACCACTTCCTGGAGCAAGAAATGGCAAGGTGGCCTTATCCACCCCGACATGGAATATATTGAAGGGAAAAACAAGAAGCATGATGCATGGATGAGTGAAGTGGTTATCCCAGTGCACCATTTGATTGGACGCTCGTGACCAGCCCATCACCTGATTAGGGTTAGAGTGAGAAGAACCGCTTGGACCTTCCTCCCTTTAAAGCTATCGTATCTTCTCCGCATTTCCCATCAACCTTATACATCTTTTATATCCATCCTCACGATGGAGCAGAGATAACCCTTGCTCGAACGGGTCAATACCCGCATGACTGTCCCCGCGTTTTATCGTTCGTGGCAAATCTAGATATTAATCCACCCAATTGTGGACCACAGGGCTCTCTCCGCACCAGGTCCCTTCCAGTATCAAATTCCCGTTGCATCATAACCAGTCGTTTGGAGCTTCCCTCATGTCGATCACTTATCGTACTCCCCCCCCCCCCCTTCCTGTCGGGTGGGTCGTATACTACTTATCGTCCTAGAGTATCTTCATGCATTTGCCCGGATATGGAATCGTAGACCTCGGTACATATCGTGTGGAAAGGAACATGGCGTATGTCGAGCCGGGTAATCTGCTACATCGCCTAGACCTATTGCAAGTAGCCGGTAAAGCTTCATTAGATAGCTCGGCAAGCTCGTCCAATGGCTGGAGCTGTGGGATACGATGAACGGGATATTGGGTACTCTTCCCCTCAGAGGAAGTCTACAAATTTGCCGCCGCGGTCGTATTTAAGGAGCCATGCGTCCCCCAGGAAGGAGGTCGGCTCATAGCTGCTGAACGAACTACAAACTCAACATGGCTCCCTCTGACGACATCCTGACTGATGTCCCAGGAACCGTTTACTTGGTCGACAGTACGTATACATCTACTTTGAACTGGCTCTGTATAGATCTTGCATTGACTATTTATGTAGCATCCGGGAACTTGGCAGATGCTGCGCATGCGAATGATATTCTTCTGATCCCCCAGCCATCCTGCTCCGCAGCTGATCCTCTAGTAAATATGTTACCCTTTAACAAGTTCTTCAGTCACTAACATGGGGCATAGAACTGGCCCAAGTACAAAAAATACTGGACCTTATGTCTCATCTCCGCCTATGCATGCGTGAACTCCTTTGGTGAGAACAACTGGGGTGCATCATGGACAACTATATCCGATGAGACTGGTGTTAGCCTCGAAAACATGAACGGCGGCTCCGCCCTCAATTACCTCATGCTTGGCTTCTTCAACATCATCTGGATTCCGACGGCCATGAAGTTCGGACGAAAGATCGTCTACATCCTGAGTTTGATATTTGTCGGTGCGAGTGGTATCTGGGGTGCATTTTATGTTGGCACAGGTCAATATTATGTTATGACGACTATTAGTGGAATGGGCACAGCTGCATACCAAGCCCTGATTCAGCTTACGGTTAGTCTCATTTCTTGGTCTAGATGTTATGCACTGCTAAGTGAGAGAAGATTTTCGATACGTTCTTTGCCCACGAACGAGGTCGGATGATTGCGATTTACATTTTCTTCCAGCAGCTGGGGTCTATTCTCGGACTCATTCTGGGAGGATACATATCCGATGGCATTGGATGGAGATGGAGTATGCCCATTGTTGCAATTGCCTGTGTGAGTACGCATCTTCTCTACCTGTCACCAGGTCAACAACTCATAGCGTCTAGGGAGTCCTCATCTTGTTGTTCATCTTTACCTTCGATGATACCATGTTCCCGCGCTACCGCTTCTCAGAAAGAACACCATCAGAACCCTTGAAAGGTGAACAAAGCTATGGAGCTTCACCTGAAACGCAATCCGAGAAGCATCAGAAAGAAGAGCCCCATATGTCAGCTGCCCCGAGCAATGGCGCGGGCGAAGTGGACATGCCACCACGGACATACATCCAGAAAATTGCTCTAGTGCACTACTTCAAAGACGACCAGACAACATGGTTCCAGTATTTCCGACGACCGTTTTATCTCTTCGCGTTTCCGAATATCGTCCTAGCTGGTATACAATTCGCGTTCGGATGCACAGCAGGGATCGTTTCCTTCAACACCATCTCAGAAATCATGACAGAAGCTCCATATAACTGGAGTAACGGTTCAACCGGCCTATTGTTCCTCTCTGCTCTCATCGGCAGTTTCTTCGGGTGAGTAATAAACATCTTGCCTTATTCACTCCCTTTCTTGTTGTAAACAAAAGCTCATATAGAAACAGGATGGGCATCGGATCCCTATCAGATTGGCTTGTCCTCTTCCTAGCTCGTCGCAACAAGGGTTACAAAGAGCCAGAAATGCGACTCTGGGCATACGTATTTCCGCTAATATTCGCAGCCTTGGGTTACTTCATCTACGGCTGGGGTGCTACAGCAGGGGCACATTGGATGACCATCGCCGTTGGTTTGTGTTGCATGATAGCTCAACAAGTCTCAGCAACCAGTATTGCAACAGCTTACGCTATGGAATGTTTCGACAAGGTATGTTCCTAGCGAATGTCTTTACTGAAGCAATCCGGTCTTCACCAACTAACCATGTACCTAGATTTCCGGTGAACTGGTGATCGTACTCGCCATATGCTCGTCTGTTATCAACTTCGCCATCTCTTTCACCGTACAACATTTCATCAATGCCACGAATTATGGCTGGGCCTTTACCTTTTATGGTATATGTGTGGTCCTTTCTATGGCGATGGGTGTGCCTATGCTTATCTGGGGAAAGAGCTGGCGCCGACGGGGCAAGGGGCGTTATGAGAAGTTTCTGGCTGAGACGGGTCGTCAATATTGATCAACATCGTGCCAGAGTACATGAACTATTTCTTATCTTCTTTTTATCTGGTCTGGGTTGTTTCTGGTTTGGCTTGATTTATTGTAGGGTTTTAAGGGCACGTGAAGGCTTTTGAACGTTCACCAGTTCCAGGAAGATACCAGATATTCGTACTTTCCATTGATCATTATTTTATTGCTCCGTTATTAGATCTCAGAAGTTTCCTAGTTTATGTTAACTGTTGGATATGACCCGCTAAGCGAACAACATCCGTATATCAAAACTTAGGAAATAGCAAGTCAATGCGCCGATTTCACCATGCTACCGAATACCAAAGACATGGTCTTTAGGGAAGAGGCCGCAAAAGCCGGAAAGTATTGAAAATGACGATAGAAGGAGAAACGAATACAGGAGCGGTGCGACTATCTAGATTACGCAATCGAAGGGTCGCTTTTATGCAGAAGGAAAATAGAGTGGTTGGTAGTAGAAACGTTCATGAATCATCCATGGCATTATCGCGCTTATGAGAAGAACCTCTGCGCAGTGGCGCGTTCCTTGGCCTGGCGGTCCTTGATGGCCTTCTTGACCTTAGCAATTTCGTTGGTGATGCCGGCGTCACCGGGGGCCAGCTTCTCGGCTTCCTGGAGGTCCTTCAGGGCGTCGTCCTCTTCTTTCAGACCGCTGTGGGCTACGGCACGGCGGTAGTAGGCCTTGGCCTTGTCGGCATCCTTCACATTGGCTGCGTTGGCAGTATCCAAGGCGTAGGTAGCCCAGGTCCGACCGTTCCCATACTGTGCCAACTTGTTGGCTAGAAGGGAAGAGTTGGAGTGCAGGGCAAACCGGAGCGCCTTGATCTGGCCATCGAGCTCCTTAGGGTCATTCTCAGCAGGCTCGGGAAACTCGAGCAAGTAGCGCAGGCCCTTCTGGTACTTCTCCAAACCAAGCGCAAGGTTACCGCTCTTGAAAGCACCGTTTCCGTAGTTCTTCAGTTCCGACGCAATCTTGAAGCAAACCTGAGCATTCAGCTCCTCTCCCTGGTGGTCATCGGGGAAATCCTCGTAGGGGTCGCCGGTGGCATCAGGGGTTTGCTTGTCAGCATCATCGTAGTCCTGGCCCGTGAGCTCACCACAGTCAACAATGGTGACGTCCTTGACAGGCTTGTCTGCCTGGGTGTTCATGTTCTCGACCTTGCGGACGACACTCTTTCCGTTGATTACTTCGCCGAAAACCACGTGCTTGCCATCCAGATGAGGGGTAGGGACGGTAGTGATGAAGAACTGACTGCCGTTGGTGCCGGGGCCGGAGTTGGCCATGGAGAGGAGGAAAGGTTTGTCATGCTTGAGCTCAAAGTTCTCGTCGGGGAATTTCTCGCCATAAATCGATTCGCCGCCCGTGCCGTTAAACGCAGTGAAATCACCACCCTGGATCATAAATTGCTTGATCACACGGTGGAAAATCGAACCTATGTGGTGGGGGTTAGGACGTATGCGCCGTGGGATGCAGAAGCGGGGTTACGCGCCGTACCCTTAAAATGCAATGGCTTGCCCTGCTTTCCCATGCCCTTCTCTCCGGTACAGAGCGCACGGAAGTTATCTGCGGTCTTAGGCACGACTGTACAGGGTCAGTGTTTGTGTAACGAAGAAAATCTCCCTTGGCAATGGGACTGACCATCATTGAACTGTGAAAGGCGGGGTAGTTAGCAAAGGCTGCTGTACAACCATGAACGACGGGGGTGGGAGGATGATATTTATAATAAACTTACCAATTCCAGGGCAATACGGCCAGTCTTTTCGTTGCCAATCTGGATGTCAAAGAAGACACGAGGACGACCTGTATTTCGAATGCGATCAGTACTAGGTTTGCGATGTGAGGGCGGAACCCCACAGCGGAGAAAAAGAACAAAACGCACGCTGAGAGTCAGCCATGGTGAGCAATATGGGAGATATAAAGGTTGAACGGAGTAGATAATTAGGTTGGAAAAGTGGATCAGTAAATAGATTGAGATGAATCAGGTAGAGGAGTCTGTAGGAGAAGAGGGGAAGGGTGAGGTAAAGAAGTGGACTGGAGCTGGAGGTAAGAATGGGAACGAGTGATGCTTCAGGAAGCTTCCATTGATCACGGGTCTCCGCACCATGCAATTCTTAGCACAATAATGCTTAGTTCTTCCATTCATGCATTCTAGACTACTAGTGATTCCAACGAATCATTCAATTGAGGCTCAGTCGATCACTGGCGGTTTTTTGGTTTTTTCATGGATCTCAGGATCATTAATGGCATTCATTAATCTCCCTCCCAAAGTTCTATCCAATCTATGTACCAACCCAGGGTATAAAAAATCAAATCAAATGAAAGACAATTGGAATAAACAAGAAAGAAAGGTGCCATATACATAATAAGGAAATATAGCCATTATTGTAACAACTCAGGAGGTAGATTAATTTCGATATTCTTCTGAACCGGTTGCGACGGCTCTTCCTTATCCGTTTTCTCCTTCTTCGGCAACTGTGTGTTGATCTCGATCGTAACCTATTTATTTCCCTATCCGTTAGTGACCCATTCATAGAAAGGTTAAGGGGCAGCAAATGAACGAGCAATAGCTATACCGCTGCATCTTCACTGCGGTAATCTACACCCACCGGCCCATCGTTCTTCAATTCGACCTCCATCATCGCCTGGAAGATACCGTTCTTTACCCGTTCGGGCTTGTAGGCTTCCCCCAGTCGTCGAAAGAAGTAGTCGTACAGTTTGCGAGCAGTCTCCACGTCAGCGGCGTCGTGGAAGTCTGGTTGCTTGCCCTTTTTCAATTGGCCATAGAGTGTAAATTGTGACACTGCGACGGTCAGCAAGCACAATCTGGATACAGTCGATGCATAATCACATACCGCAGAGAATCTCTCCTTCAATATCCTGAACATTTCGCTTCCACTTCGCACCGAATGATATCCATCAGAACCAATCCGTCTCGTTACCGACAATCCAGTCGGCTAGTGGCTTACCTGCTTATCTTCATCGCCTGGGAACAACTTGGCTTTCAGTATCCGCTGGATTAACGTATCTGCATCCTTCTCTGTGTCCCCCTTGCCAACACCTGCCAAAACGAGCAGACCTCTACCGATTTTAGAGACTAGCTGGCCATCGACTGTAACCGACGCGGATTTGACTCGCTGTATAACCGCTGGCGCTCGTTTAGTGAGGGTACTCACTCTAGAAGATGAGATGGTGACGAACCCTTCATAATGAGATTATCTGACTAATAGGCACATGAAATTTGTCGCAAGTGGAATAAAGAGGGTTATAAGGAGTGCGAATAAACTGTAGTCACGGGTATGGTCAGCTAGAGAACACAGCGCTCGAGGGAACTATAGATCTGTAGCGGCTTGCTGCAAACGGAGCTTTCACTTACCATGGGAATTCACAACACAAGTAAGTTCAAGGTCGGCGACTAGAAGATCACTAACTCGCATATGCGAGGTGAAACAAAGTACTCGGGTATTCTTATAGAAACTTGAGGCAAAATGATCGGTCAAGAAGGAGGAGTAACGAAAGGCAGATGATCGGAGGAAAGTTAAGTGGTTCCCGCACCGCACTGGAATAACCTAAGGCACACACTTAAGGTATCTATGTACAAACCGATTTCAATACTAAATTACGCCGCCCGTCAAGTCTTGGCGCCAACTGAGCTCTTCGACAGGCGCTGAATCCATACCACATATCAGGAGATTGTCTACCCTGCACCCCCAGGACTTCTCTTGACAATTGATCAATTCACTCACCCACCGCGCACACGTCCTTCAATTTAGGATAGAGTTGCCTGGCAACCTTGATCCTTATTTACAACGCCGGAATTCCTTGACGTCGACGTTCATACGAATCCCCCCATCCGCCCTACCTTTCTCCGCTTCCCACCCACCCCGAACCCACACCTCAAGTGCAATTTTCAGCCTCCTTCCGTGGTCCATCTGTTCATGTGAACAGCAGCCATGACATCGCGAAAGACGCAGCAAGAGATCGACAAGACCTTCAAGAAGGTCGCCGAAGGTATTCAGTCGTTCGAGGGCATCTACGAGAAGATCCGCTCCACGTCAAATCCGACCCAACGGGATAAGCTTGAGGAAAACTTGAAACGGGAGATCAAGAAGCTCCAACGATATCGCGACCAGATCAAGTCATGGGCGTCAGGCAATGAGGTCAAAGACAAGGGACCGCTGCTGGAGCAGCGCCGAGCCATCGAAACTGTGGGCTAACGATTCCCCGACAAATCCTGCCCTCCAACGGCTTATCGGACTTGCGAGTAGCTAACACAGGTGCAGTGCATGGAGCAGTTCAAAGCGGTAGAAAAGGAAATGAAGACGAAAGCATACTCGAAAGAGGGTCTTTCGGCCGCATCCAGACTCGATCCGAGAGAAAAGGAAAAGGTGGAGACATGTGACTTCTTATCGAGCATGGTCGACGAGTTACAACAAAAGATTGAGGCCATGGAGGCGGAGGAAGAGACGCTGCATGTGCAGATGAAGAAGGGCAGGAAGGACGTCGCCAGGGCCAACCGGTTGGCGGATCTTACGCGGATAACGGAACGACATAAGTGGCATGTCAACAAGCTGGAACTCTTGCTACGATCGCTGCAAAACGGCAACGTGGAGGTAAACCAAGTGTTGGACTTGAAAGAAAGCATAAAGTACTATGTAGAGGATGGGCATAATGTGGACTACTCTGGCGAGGATGAAACGCTTTATGATGACCTGATCCTAGATGGTGAGACTGAGGCACAGTTCGGCATAACGGGTGACAACGACCGGGTATCATCGCAGGATACACAGTCTGTCCAGGAGGAAGATCTGGACTTGAAGCCGAAGCCCATTAAGAGCGAATCCACGGCGCCTCGAAGACCCTCCGCGCAGATGAAATCGCCGCTCCCAGTGCTTGCGACACTACATCCGTCAACGTCCACCAGTGCCACATCTGGGATGAAGCCCGCACCACCACCCACCCGTCTACCTGGGGAAACCCTTAAATACGCCTCCGCGGCGGCTGCGGCGGCTGCCAGTGATAAGAACGGTGTTGGCATTGCTCCCCTTCCTCCACCGCCGGGCACAAGCCCTGCTTTCCCCGCTGCCAGTTTGGTCTCGAGACCTTCATCGACTGCTTCCCCTAGCGTTGCCTCCGTACAACCTGTATCTAAGCCGACCGCGACGACAAGTATCGCTTCGGAGGAGCGGTCCAAGACACCCGCGCTCAGCCCCAATGTCACTGCCGCGAGTGCGTCGAATACAGTGCAGTCGACGCCTGCAACCAAGAAGGCGGAGACGTCAGCCACCAAGGAATCACAGCCAACGGTGAACGGTGAGGCGAGCAAGGAAGAGTCGCGCGAGGAGGAATCGATATACCACCTGCCTCCGGGGCTGCAAGATCTGATCCATTCCTTCGAGGTGACCAAGAGCCGAGCAGCAGCACAAAGTTCCACAAACCCCCCTCCGTCAGTGCAACGGCTCCTTACGGCATCACTCAACACCTGTCCCGAGCCGGCGGATGCTGAAAAGCCACGTCACTATAAACCTCAGAACCCGTACAATACCCCTCTTTATTACCCTCAAGAGCCGCTTGCCATCTTCGACGACCCCCGGTTATACGACACGGGGAGGATCGATACGGATACTCTGTTCTACCTGTTTTATTACCGGCAAGGCACGTATCAGCAATTCCTAGCGGCCAAAGCGCTCAAGAACCAAAGTTGGCGATTCCACAAGCAGTACCAGACCTGGTTCCAACGGCACGAGGAACCCAAGACCATCACAGAGGAATTTGAACAAGGGACGTATCGGTTCTTTGATTACGAGAGTACATGGTGAGTGGGGTCTTCTTTTCACTTCTCCTTTTTCTTTAACGATGTTTTCCCCTTTTTTGTCTTTTTTTAATTGAAGTTGTTTTACATGTCGGAGTTCAATCTCCGATGAGTCTCGGACAAACCGCTAACCCAGCACACAGGATGAACCGTCGTAAGGCCGATTTCAAGTTTGTCTACAAGTACCTGGAAGACGAACTATAATGCGGCTTTAGTCTCCTTGTTTCTTTGAGTTCGTGTATGTATGGTAGGCATTCGGTCCAATTATTTGCGGTGTGGTTATGGGTCATCTACACTGGAGATGGGCATTGAGTTTCAGGTCGTTCGGGTTGCCGACGGTTGGGAGTCTGTCATTTCTTTTGACTTTTTTTTTCTTCTCCCTTTTTTTTTTTACTTCTTTGTGTTTGCGAGATTTCTTCAGGAACGAGTAAACGACTGGGACTTGCGGGACAGGGGAGTTCTGCGCTGATCTTGCGTGGCGGCTGATGGAATATACAGCCATGTCTTATGCACACACTGTTGGGTTGGCCCCTTGAGGAATGCAACCATCGTCCAGATATCTTTGACCGATGATGATTCTTACTGCATCCCTTCCGTGTTCAGACTCGTCTGGACCGAATCTGGCGTTCTGGAACCCGTAGCGATCAGAAACAGCGTAGCCCGAAGCAGCAATCCGAGCCGCCGTGTGGCTCACGATCACCCAAGGTTGGAGAGATGAAGCCGAGTCTGCATCCACCGCAGGGAGCGTTTGCCATTGGGATGGTTTATCGCTGTCGGACAAAGAAGAAGAAACATGAAACAGTAATAGAGAAGTAAACGTTCTGCTAGTGAACGGTTGCTGCTATAATTATTGCTCGTATTATTGGCCGAGCGGGATGAACCTACGGTCAGCTCTCACGAGTAGAAGTGAGTTGTGGGTAGTGGTAGTGGTAGTGGTAGTAGTCGTAGTAAAGAGAGAAAGAGGTTCCAATGCTATGACTAAGGTTAAGGGCGATCACCGGACTTGGACCTTTACGCTTTCTGTGCCCGACACACAGACAACAAGAACACAAAGGACAACAATCGATTTCTCCGTCTCTTCCTCTCCGTCTGCGTGTGTCTCTCGCCCGTCCGCCTCACTCACCGTCGAGTCATTCGTTAAACGCAAAATAAAAGCCTCAAAAACTAATTAAATGACGGTCAGACTCAAAAGAACCTCGCATCTTCAAAAATCCCTCACGGAACGGTTCAAAGTTCCCCCTGCATGGGACTAGTTGAATTACTTCTTACAGGGTGGCTGGTGGAAGAGATAGAATAATCGATCGTCAATCAGTCGACTGTGAGTGGTAGTACCAAAGACATCAGCATCAGCATCATCATCCAGGGCTTTGTAGATACGTCGTAGTTGCAAGTGGGCTGTGCGGCTGTTTTCTCCGTCACCGGGTCGGCACTAGTTGTACCAGTTATACCAGGATACCAATGATAATGTCGTCCTTCCATGGATTCAATCGAGAAATCCAAGTTCCCAATTGAATTAATTTCCTTCCTGAATGGAAACGGATTCACTCATTATGTGGTTCTTTTATTAGGAGAAAAGTAAACCTTGATTTGGATTGATTCTATTCATTGATTTGTGCTCCCCAGACTTGGTGACCGAATCAACCTGGGACTTGGCGCCAAGTCCGGTGTCTCCACTGCCACAAGGCTGTCGAATCGCTGATTTTCGTCCCGAGAGAATCAAAGAAAATGTGTCGGAAAACGTGCCGACCTGGAAAATCAGGTTGGGTGTTCATGGCCTTTCATGCCTGCCCATGTTCCCCCCCCCATGTTTAGTCTGTACTTACGGGACTGTCCCTGGTTAGCATCAGGAACAATCATACTTAAGTTCTCTCCATTATACTCATTATACTAATTATGGTATTCACGATCTTCATAAACTTCAACCGAGTATAATGATAAAGAAAAACAATAATACTACTACAAAAATAAATCAAAATTAAAATTAAAA